AAAAAAGCGGACTGCGTTCGTAACCAATAAATTCTTAGTTGAACTAGTATGGATTATTTACTTTAAAAAACGGATTTCTCCGCACCACAGGATTAGTGCGGATTTTAAGTTACCTATTATGGATATGGCACGGGGCCAGCGTCTACATGAACAGAAGAGGAGGGGGGGGGGGGTAGGACCAGTTTCATACTATTTTTTGAGGGGGGTAGGCGGTTTTTATGGGGGTACGATAATTATTTTTTTTGTTGGGGGGGGGGTATCTAGTTATCTATTAAATTTTGAGATCAAATAGGACAAAATTTATTTCTGTAAAAATTAATACTTTTATTATAGACCTATTAAAATATAATTCAACCAAATTTGTATATTGCAAACAATCATAAACATTATTTTCCAGATAAAACTTTCTGCTATCCTTTCAAATCTAATTTAAAAGTTTAGATATTTTCAGCAAGCTCATAATTCTATAATAAGAATTCATTGTAAATGATGGAGGCTTTAATTGAATTTATTATCTAAAAATAACTACTCTAAATTCACTAAATGTCGATAGTTGGTAGTAGAGATAAAATAATTTAAGTTATTCTTTTTAAATTCTCTGAAAGAGTATCATTATAATTAAAAATGTGAAATTAAAAATAGGAAAACGTCGCCAATAAAAATCTTGTCATGTAGACGCTGCACGGGGCCATTCTGCATCATTTAAGGTTTTATTTTGGTTTAAAAAAATCAAGTAAACAAATATATTTTATCTAAATTAATAATTTTTTTATTTTTTTTTGCTGTAATAAATCCGAATCAAGCAATCAATATCATTTATCAGAATTATTAATGTTTCCATGAATTCGACGTAAATTAGATAAGAAAATAAAAGCATCCTATTTCGTTTTTCTCCTCGCTATTTATACATAGTTCGTATTATATTAACATAACTACATATTGATATATTTATTGCGAGGTAACAAAATTATATAAAAATTGATCGAAAGATAAAACAACATGTTTTAATTCATAAAAATTGATGGGAAAGGCAAAATAACACTTTTTGGGGATAACAAAAAAGTGGGAGGGGGGGCATTTAAAAGAAAATTGCACAAACACAACAATAATTAATCACAATATCCTGCAGTATAAAACATTACCTTGTTTCCCAAAGGATTTGTATAACATCATTCTCCAAATATATAAGCAGCGAATAAGTTAATTAATGAGGTCTAGCTTGCCCGGATCACTCTAAAGCGATAATAAAAATTAGGAAGGCTTTCTGTTCGTAAGAGGACGCTGCTGGAATCTTCTTTGTTACGAATTTCCCATATGAAACGGGGAGGGGGGTTTTATAGGAAGACGCCGTTTGATTCGTCTTATTTATTAATACGATAAAATACAAAACCACAAATAATCATATTTCGGAAAAGGATAATTATATTCGAATAAAATAATTTAAAACCCAAATTATCATATTTCGAAAACAAATTTATAAATTTTTTAGATGATCTTAGTTTATTCCAAATTGGATAATATATCTGCATATGGTCATTCTTCGAGAAAACGATTTAGAATATTGTATGAACATTTTCTATTCCTCTATTACCTTAATAATATTCCTAATTAATATATTGCCACTATGTCTATCTATTTTCCTCTGAATAACACAAATATCGTATAATGTCCTATATGAATTTATTTTCTTCCAAAAAAATATATTTGATTATATAGTAATTTTAAATTTTGGAATATTTATTATTATATTTTACTTTGATAATATGGTTGTTGATTGATCATATATAAATTTAAAGAATTAATCTTAAATTTGAATAGTTAATCTGATATTATAAATTGATGTGTTTGATATAATTTAACTATTCACAAAAACGTGATATTATATATTTTTCAATTAAATTTATATATATATATATACTATGTTTTTAGATATAGGATAATAATAAAAAAATAAAATATTTTAAAAAATAATTAATTTGAATAGCTTACTTCATGGTGCCCCGGTTACGGTGGTACGTTTTTCGTTTTTCTTTTTTTAAAAAAAAAAAAGTATATAATAAAAGTTTATTTCTTTCGATTTCTTTTGTAAAAATAAAAAGTAAACGAATTACTTATCAAATTCGTCGTTCGATATTGGAGATGATATAAGGACAAATAAAATTTTTTGACTTTTCTTTTCGATAGTCAAAATTTTATCCAAATTTACAAAATTATAAAAGGTAAGAAAAAAAAAAAGTTGAAAAAAAATTATTTAGAATAAATATAACTTGTTAACTTCTTGTTTCTTTTATGGCGCCCCGTTACGTTTTTGTAAAAAAAAAAAAGAAGAAAATATATAAAATTTGCCTAAAATTAAAATAAAAAAGTAAAAATTAAATTAAATTGGAAATTGTGATGACTACCTTATTTATTGATTTGACTACCTATTGTGACGATTGTTTAATCCATTGAGATGACTCTATTTATATGACTACCTTTGTGGTGACTATCTATTGTGACGATTGTGTAATCCATTGAGATGACTCTATTTATATGACTACCTATTGACTACCTATTGTGTTGATTGCTTAATCTATGGAGATGACCAAGAATCAAACCTTAGCACGTTCTTCCATGCAAAAAGCTTCTTTCTTCATGGTGTCCCGGCTCTGGATGTTGGACTGGAATATGATAACCAGCACCTAACCTAATGTGACAACCTAGGAAGAACTGATATGGAAGTTGAACGATAGGTTATGAATTCTATTTTGTGAGACCAATGATGATTACTTATTATTCTAATCCACGTAAGAAGAAAAGTTATTAAAAATTAAAATTTTATGCCAGGATAAAGGCATGTTATAAATTTTTAAAATCACTAAAATGTAAAATCATAATGGATATATTTGAACACACAAAAAGCCTTTAAAAAATTATTTACTTAAATTCTTAGTGAAATATTATTTTTTGATTTCTTGAATGATGACCAATTGTTGTAAATTAATAACTAATCCTAAAAATGAATTCTTAGATATAATTAAATATAAACCATTATAAATACAAGAAGATAAAACTTTAATTTTAAATATATTAAGTGTAATTAAAACATATGAATTAAAAGGGATTGATTTAAATAACCCTTATAAGTAATACTTAATCTGATAAAAATGTTTTTGAAATAAAGCTTTTGAAGACAAAAGGTTATGTAAAAATTAAACATCATTATTTTAGAAAAATATTGTGTGAAATTAAAAAAATTTTTTAAGAGAAGGAAATGTGCATAATATTTGCATATTTTAACCTCGGAGATTGAAAATAAATAAAAATAAATTAAATATTAAAACGCTACTAATTAAATATTAAAACGCTAAAAAATGTAAAACGCAAATATAAAACGCTAAAAATATAAAACGCATAAAACGCTAAAAGTATAAAACGCTATGATTAACTTAACACCTAAAAAATAATATAATAATCATTATGATTTATAATTCCTTATTCTGGATTTTATTCCTTATTCCATAAATTATCATTCCTTATTACATATTTTATTGTTCCGAAATTCAAAATTTTATTCGTGCATATTATTCATATATTTGATTTGATCAACTATTCCAAATTACATATTCCGATTTTTTCCAAATTCCAATATTCGACTGGATTAATTATGAAACATGATAATAACAATTTTGAGAAATGTGAACATACGATAAGGATATCAAGCCTACAAAAAACGTACAAACTCATGCAACTCTAATAAACGATTTTATCAAACCTACGCGATTGATTCAAGCCTACAAAAAACGTACAAACTCACGCAACTCTAATAAACGATTTTATCAAACCTACGTGATAGAATCAAGCCTACGAGAACATTTGAGACTTATGCGCTAACCAAGATAAAACCGAGTACAATCGAAACGGGAAAAAACTTCTGGGACAATAAGCTCTCGATGACTGCTGAGAAGAAGCTTCGTTCTTTGTTGAAGAGGGGGAATGTTGATTGATCATATATAAATTTAAAGAATTAATCTTAAATTTGAATAGTTAATCTGATATTATAAATTGATGTGTTTGATATAATTTAACTATTCACAAAAACGTGATATTATATATTTTTCAATTAACTTTTTTTATATATATATATACTATGTTTTTAGATATAGGATAATAATAAAAAAATAAAATATTTTAAAAAATAATTAATTTGAATAGCTTAGCTCAATGGTAATTCCCAATTTTGGAATATTCTTATTTTATTTTATAATATAGTAATTCCATTTCGAAATATTTCTAATTTTATTTCACAATTCTAAATTGCGGAAATTTAATATTTTATTTTACCAATATCCACTTTTTAACATTCAATATTTGGAATAATAATTTATACATTTGGATATCGATACAATTTTCCTTATAAATACTTTAACAAATATCGGAAAAATAACTATTAAATCTTGAAATATTCCGATAAGTTTAATTTCTTTCTATTAATATCTTTACACAGTATACCATTTTGATTAAATAGGGCAGTAAACCACATAGATATACTCTTATCCAGTGGGTAAGGTCAACATTGTAATATTTATGAAAACGTAAAAATTTTAGGAATTCCGAGCCGGGCCTAACACTAGAAATGGAATGTGAATTCAAAACGTATAAAACAATTTATATTTTAATTTTAAATATTTTTATTTTTAATTAGAATTAATTTCCGATTTCTTTTCTTTACATTCTTTTATAATAAAGACCATAAAAAATCAACGTATAAAAAGGTAATCCTTACAGTTTTTAAATGTAATACTAATCAACCAGCTCTTTTGAAAATAATGCACCTGTTGAAAGAAATTATTTTATCAAAATACGAGTCCATAAAGAATATGTAAAAATTTTATAAACATATTGGTTGGTGTCAACATTTTAAATATTTCTAAGTTAAAATCTGTTTGATTTTATGGTGATTGACTTCGAAAGCCTGATTTATTCCTTGTATTAATATTATACATCTATCCCTTTTATCTTATTTACGATAATATTTTCTTTTATTTACACAAAGTATATTATATCGTTATCCCTTGATATAATATCAATATTTACTCAGAAATAAAGAATGCATTTATGACAATAAAGTATCACATATATTATCAATCAGTAGCTTTTATCATTCCAAATGGAATTAAATTCTAATACTCCCTCAAAAATTTCTCTTGCTATTTGTCAGGAAATTCAAAGATTTGAAAGCGTTCACCCATCAATTTACGCACTATATGAGTTGATAGATTTGATTCCTGATAAATCCTTGCATCAACAAATTAGAGATCATGTAATATGCATTGAAAGTATTCCAGATATTTTTTAAATATTTATGTTAAATATACATAAATATAGGTTCATTTGTTAATAATCAAGAGTGGACATTACCTAGAAATGTTAAAGAATTCAAAATAGTGATATAATTATATATATCTTACATTAAAAAACAAAACTAGGGATTGTTAGGAAATGATATGTGTGGAAAAGCTGCTTTGGTGTATAGATATTTAACTGGGCGATATACCCAAGAAGATGGCTTAGATGGTAAATTTAAAAAAAAAGTAATTGTGGAATAATACAAACATATTAGGTGGTAGATACAAAAAAGAAGTTAAATTAAATGGCCAAAGTTATCTTCTACTATTAAGAGATGAAGCAGGTCCACCTGATCAACAAGTTAAGAGCTTGATTATTTTGTTTTTATAATTATATTACTATTTTAACTTCAATACAATATTAATATAGTGTAAAATAATTTGGTTGTCTGGCCTAACTTATAATTTTTTCTTTGAAGGAAAAGTAGGGTTGTTAAATGCATGATTCAGGTTGATTTTAAGAATTTAGACAAAATAATATTACGATTTTCTATAGATGGAAGAAAAGTTGGGATCTCTTGATTTGGCAAATATCCTAATTAAATTATTTAAATATTGACCCAAATTGGGTTTTACAATTAATTCTTCTAGCCTTAATAAAAATTGTGAACTTCTGCCTGACCTATAAAAATATTTAGCAAGATGTCTGACCTGAAAATCTTTTTAGACTGCATGTAGGATTAATTAGAGCCCTTCATTAAGAACTTGTCATATCCTTCCAAACTTGGTTGGATTTGGACATATCTTCTCTTGGACTTAGTTAGATTTGGACCTATTTTTTAATTTATTTTAGATGGGGCTTGGACTGTTAAAATTTTAGTTTATTTTGTTTTCCTACTATTTTTAAGAATAATACTATTTTTTTAATTATCCTTCAGTTAATTTAGATACTTAATTGCTTTTTAGTATAGGATAAAAAGTATTTGATTGAGGACACCCATTTTGGTTTATTTTAAGTATTTGGTGGCATTTCTATTTTTCATATTTTATTCTTGTTTTATTGGTTGTGTTTATTTTGTTTTTTAAAATTTTTTCTTTTGCTTTTTTGGCTATTTAGACAATATAAAAGATGGTTAGCTGCAGGGTTGGGCAAATTTTCAGAAAATTGTATTCAGATACAGATACTTTATAAAATTTTGTATTTAAGATACTAGATACTTTAGAAAAATTTCAATAAGATATAAGATACAAGATACTTGTATTTTTTTAAAAAAAAAGTATCTAAGATACAAGATACTTTTTTTTAAAAACTTTAAATAGTCAAAATCAAAATGTATAAAGCTTTATTTCTTATCTATAATATAAATTTATAAAATAATATTTAAAATAAATTGTTGAAAATAACAAATTTATTATAAAAGATAATGCGATATTCCATTTAATAATTATATAATTAGTAAATAATAATAAATCAGCATCATAAATCAGCATTATTTTTTAATATTATTAATTTATCAAATGATTTATTTTCAATCTTTGACGATTTGATCTATTAACCATATTAGCAAAGCTAAATAATCTTTCAACGGGGGCTGAGGAGGGTAATATTGTGTTATATTTAATAAATATTTCTTTTATATATTTATAACTATTTAACATATTTATACTCCGCATGTCATCTTTCATATAATTTAGTACCTCTATTTCAATATCATTTATTGAATTATTAGAATTGGATGTGGTACTTTTAAGGCAATAGTAATCATCATCTTCATCAATTGAAGATTTTGTTGAAGTATTAATTTCAATATTATTTTTAAAAACAATTAAAACTTCATGTAATAACAAATCCTGAAGGTATTTTTTTTTTTTCACCATCAATCCAACGATTTTTAAAATAGGGATGAGAAATAGTTGCCAAAAATGCACTTTTAACATTGTTATCAAAATCATATATATTTTTAAATCTTTTATTTAAATAATTTTCTATGGCAACAGCTAATGGTTTGCAAAATTGTAGATTGGTTTGAATTAAATTTGTAATTTTATTTTAACGACATTTAAAATTGGAGCTGATTCTCCATAATAGCAGTTGATTTCACTCTGTATTTTGTCAATCGCTATAGCCAATGGGGCCATTATATTGCAATATTCTTCTAAATATTGAATTTCAATATCTCTTAATTTAGGAAATTCTAATTTTTGACATAATTTAGGAAGTTCGCCTTTAAATTTTAATAAACTATGAAGACTATCATACAAACTATTCCATCTAGTGCAACAAGGTATAACTAATTGTTTTCCTAAAACTGCTTTGATAAGTTCTGCAGTTTTAGGCCTATTATTTGCATTCCATAGCTTAGTACATTTAGCTATTGCAGGATGATAAATTTTAGAAATGTTAGGAAAATCCTTAATAGCTCTCTCGACATCTGTTGTGGCAATTTTATCGTATGGCACAAACAACGAATGTGTTGAGGCAATGTTATTGAGGCTTCTTTAGACCCTTAAATAAACAAATAAATAATTTTATTTGAATAAAATTTTTTACAAAATTTACAATATCATAATAAATTTTAAAGAAGTATTAAATAATACTTTCAATGATTTCGAATTCTATACATTCATCATCATTGATGTCAAAGTCATTCTCTACAGCTTCCATAGAATATCCAAACTCCTTGAAAGCTTTCTTAAAGTTAGAGCCGTTATCTGTAACAGTTGCAACTTTTTCGTCAATACCAAAGTCACGTTGAATTTCTTTATTATGATCATCTTGAAGTACTTCAAAAAATTTGCCATTAAGTATGCTTAGTTTAAATTTATTGTTTAAATTTATTGTTATAATTTTCGGTTGAAGAATCATCTGAAGACGAAGATAAACATATTATTCTATTTTCTTCTTCCATAATTTTAAAATAGACAGATATAAAAAGATTCAAATATGGTAGTTTTAATTGTTTGCATATCTTAAAATATCTAAATTTTGATTAAATTTTTCATTTAAATCTTAAAACAATATCATTTTAAATTTTAATACTATTTAAATTAACCAATATAAATTTTTTTTAAAGTATCTGTATCTTTTTGAATACAAAGTTGGTTAAGATACAAATACTTTTAAATAATATGTATCTTAGATACTGGAAACAAGATACTTTCCAAAATTTTAAAAAAGATACAATTGTATCTTAGATACAAATATCCGCGATACTGCCCAACCCTGGTAGCGGGCTATTAATTATTAAGCCAACCTAGGATATGGCCTTAGATTTTGTTTTTTAAATGTTTAACTTTTTCTGCAGTCTAATAAAAAGAAATTAGATTGGATCAAACATTATATATCTAAGAAAAAAAAGTTTGGATAATTGAAAAAAAAAATCACCAGATTGGAATGGCCTGATTAAAATTGTTAAATTTTTTTATGGGTGAATTTGGATTTGAAAAAATATAACAATATAAGGGTTCTAATATTAGTAGTTCATGAATTTTTATAAATAACATTTGTTGATAAAATATTTATATTATAAATTAATATAGTTTTCAGATTGGATAGATGCAGTGATATTTGTTTTTAGTGTGGAAAATGAGAATTCCTTTCAAACAGTTTACAACTATTATTCTAAACTTTCTTATATGAGAAAATTAATTGACATTCCAGTATTTTTGGTTGGCACTCAAGGTAACAATATATAACTAATTTAAATGTTGTTTATTTATAGCTTATTTATGATATAAATTATCAATGTTAATCTATCTAATTAATTATGAATGTTTTAATAAAAAGTTTTTTTGTTTTTCAATATATCAGTACAATTTTTATTTGTCCATAGTTTAAGTGATTTACTTTACTTTACATTAAATTAATTTTTAATATTACGTTTTTTTATTTATTTAGACAATTTATATCTTTATGCATTAATATCAATAAGTAATATACCATGCATAAAAATATATATCCCAGTCTATCTCTATATTATAACAACGGTTTAATTGAGGAATGCTTTTGCGATTATTTTCATAAATTTTTGCAATTATTATTTTCCAATATTCTTTAAAAATATATTGTCTGAAAGAAACATGTTTAAAAATGAACTATTCCTCTTTTCTTTTATCTCTAAGGTCACTTTTTTAATTTTATAAATCACAATTGTGGGGAAGATGGGGTGATAACAATTTTTTTTAACTACATCAAAATAATTATAATAATTAGAATGTAAAAATTTTATGACGGCAAACCACTTACTATAAAAGTGTGACAGAAAAAAGACACTAACTTGAGTTTATACAAGTTATGGATAAGTTATGGATCGACATTTCGCCACCGTATCTTATAATCAAATGGGGAAATTGTTTTTTATGGGTTCGTCCATTTGCCAATTTTTTTTAAAAAGAATATATCGTCAGATCGATTTTATGTACATTCATTCGTTTTGTATTATTTCTTCAAAACGCATATTTCCGCCATTTTATCGATCTCATTGATAATTGGTCCGATAATTTTATAATTACTTATGATCTTTATCTCGAGTAGTTAAAAAAATAGATAAAATTTCTTATAACTTTTTTTATGGGATTATAATATCAGACCACATTTATATATTATTTATATTTTTGTTTTTTTAAAAAGGTATAAATATTTAATTTTCTATATCTCTTTCGGAAGAGAATAATAAATATGGGGTATTTTTTTAAAAAAAAGCCCCCGCCCCCATCTATTTACTAAATGGTTCATGCGATTCGTTTATTTTGGAAAATCGGTTGCATTTTAGGTTAAGTAGAACTCAAAGATAACTGGGTATAATTGTTACAACGTGATTTGTTTCTATTTCTATTGGTTTCTTGTATAGAATAACTTAATGTAAACGGCTCGATTTTTAAAAATGGCTAACCCAATATTTTAGACAAATAATATTACGCAGGCCTATAAATTTTGCTCATAGATGGCAGAAAAGTTTGGACATCTAGTAACGAAATCTCGAGGCTTGCCTAATATTAATTTGGCTAAAGTTTTTATTTAAAATTTGCTAGCTAGATCGAGCCATTTAACAACAACCTTTAAAAATGTATGTTTACTACCGATTTTTTTTTAAAAAATAAATAGGAAATACAGGTGGGAACAATTTTTTCAGAATTTAAACTGAAGATTGCCAATATTTTTGAAAATAATTTTATTCTTTCAGTTTTTATTTTTAATAATTATTATTGGTTATAGAAAATACACTGCAAGCCGAACTGGTTGTGGTTAAATTTATTTTTGGGAAATTTAAGGCTGTGTCGAAAATGTCAAAAATTTAATTCGAAAAGCTTTCAAAATTTTATTCAAAAATCAGGAAATAAGGCCTCTTTTTTTTCTAAATGGAAAAATAAACCTCTTTTTTTTTCTAAATAGAAAATAATAAATGATTAAAAACTAGTGTTGTTAAACGGCTCGTTTTGAGCCCATTTTTAAAAACGGCTAACACAGTATTTTATACAGAAAAATATTACGCAAGTCTGAAAATTTTGTTCATAGAAGGAGCAAAGGTCTAGACATATAGTATCGAAATTTCGAGGCTTAGTCAATATTTTTTCGTTTTTAAAAATCGGCTCAAAATGAGCCGTTTAACAACATTACTAAAAACATATGTGTTCAAAACTTTTTCCTTTAAGTTTCTTAAAAGTTTTAAACAAGTTTTAGTCACAATCTTATTTAAAAAAATAATATAATTCACAAAATTCGTAGACTTTAATTAAAATAAAGTAGGTAAATTTTTTTTCCAAATTACAAATTTAAATTTCTAATAGTCTCAAATGTACGATAATAGTTCTGCTCAAGGAATGTTCAAATGAAGGAGATTTTTTAATTGGGTGAAATTTTTTTTAAATTAAACAAGTATCTGAAGTAAGGAATAGGATTAAACGTTAAAGAGATATGGGTTAGGGTTATTTAAAGGTTTGAGACATATTGATTAGAAGATATATTAATTATTTTTTTTAATAAAATGAATTTAATTTTATTAGTGCTGTAAAAACGTTACTTTAAAAAAAACGTGTTACTCGTTACGTTTAAAAAAATGAATGCGTTGCTCCCTTTTGAAAAAGGTAACCGATGGCTGGCTTTTCCTTTCTTCAAAAAAATGTAACGACGTTACTTTACAGAGGAGTAACATAAAATTTTTTCTTAATTTAGTTTTTATTTCAGATCAACCATTAAAGTTCTTCTTATTTTGTTTATTATATTTTTGTTGTTGAATTTTATACAGTCAAGATTGATAATCTAATTTATATTGAATCAATGAAGGCATGTTAATCTATATTCTCTAAATTAATTTATTTTATAAAGAATATACCAATCTGCCCTGACAATATTTTACATAAATAATGAAAATTAAGGGCGATAAGTCTATGAGCTTAGATTGTGCCCATTCAAATATTTTAACCTCGATGTCCAGCCGTCCAAATCTAAAAATAATATATGAGTAAAAATTTGAATTCAGATTAAATTCTGATAAAGATTTAAAAAATTGGTGAGGGATCTAAATGAAGATTCTTGTGAAGACATATCTGACAAGTTACCTTGAAAATCATTCTTTAAATATTTTTAATAAATTTCCCAAATTAAATGTTGTTATTTATTAAATAAATATAATACACCCTCTAATCCTCTGCGCAAGTTGAATGTGTATTTAGCTCCGCGAAGTCTATGTCGAGCACTAACCCTTTTGTTTATCTGATCAAAATTTATAAAATCAATTGTTAAAAATATAAAAAAATTAACTTATTTTATAAAATATTAATTTTGTATAATTTTATTATCTATGGAAAAAAAAGAAAATTCATATATATAATATTTTTTAAGTAACGTGTTACCTTTTTTGAATAGTGTAACGCGTTTCCTTTTTGAAAACATAACGAGTGTTACTTATTTTACGTTTGCAGCAGCATTTATTTAATAACTTGTCAAATCTGACAGGTCATGTACATATAAAAATAGACGAATAGAAATTTAACCAATTCAGCTGTTGTATAGGCAATTTCTTTGAGTTGGATCATAATCAATTTTTTTTGTTAAATTTATAAAAGTTCTTAAATTTTCTAAACTTCTTAAAATATATACGCCCTTTTGTTTATTAAATAAAATGTGTGTATAGATGTTTCACCGTTTTCGAAGTATTATTTTTTCTAAAATAACTTAAATTAAAAGGGTTTATATTCTTAGAAAAAATTAAATTTCCCTTGTTTCGCGCAAAATATATGTTCACGCCCAATAACGCTCTGGGATTTTTTCCTAGAAAGGCCTGTCACTTCCAATTACGGTTAGAAATTTAACATTCATTCGCAGGTGGGACACTTTGGGACACGGGAATTTACACGGCCCCCGCCTACCTTCTAATAGGAAGTTATTTGAAAACCAAAAAACGATTATTATTTTAGGGATTTGAAAATAAATATGAAATTTTTATATAAGGCAGATGTTCAAAGTCAGGAATGTTCATAACTTGTAAGCGATAACATATTTATTTTAGAAGTTTATGTTTATATTAAATATCATTTTAACCCTCAAAACTTTTTAAAAAAATTATTTTGCCCTTAGAATCAAAAAAATAAATATAATTATTAATCCCTCTTTTTTAAAATATTAGTTTAGATATATCAGAAACCTGCAGAGATACCATTTGCACAGCCCGCCCAGATTTTTTAAAAATATATTTTCATTTATTTTTAATTTTCATAGCTAATAATGGCGATTTAAAATATTGGTTTTAACAAGCCCGGCCCCTGTATATTTGAAAAATTAAAATACGGCCGGCCCGTATACCCGGGCCGGGCCTGCAGGCCTCTGAGATATATTTTATAAATTTGAAAAAATAATCTCCAATAGAAAGACAGAATCGTATTATTTTTTATGATTGTTTAAATTTCTCGATTTTGAGGAGAACACTAAAAATTTCTTCCGTTTTAATATTTTGTTTTACAAAAGGGACTAAGCTTGATATGATTTATCAATATCGTAATATCATTTAAAAGCATATTTACGTGGCAAAAATATACAGAATTACATGTAATATAGTTAAACGATTTGAGCCGATTTTACAAAAGGCCCCTCAATATTTTAGCCAGAAAAATATTGCTTAAGTCTCAAAATTTCTCTAATAGATGTCCAAACCTTTGTGCTATCTATGAGAAAAACTCACGCTTGCCTAATATTTTACGGACAAAATATTTAGTTTCCCGTTTTTAAAAATTGGCTCAAATCGAGCCTTTTAACAATCTAATTCAAATGCAGCTTTTTAGAATTTTTATGGGGTCATTTACCTGAATGTAAAATTTTAAATTTTACATATACTTTTGAAAGTATAATTTTAAACATCGGCGAAAATATCGGTGCAACCCTATTTATTTTAAATTCAGAATATTAAAATAATTTTCTCACCATATTGAGATTATAATTAAATTATTTTATTACATTGTGTCAAAAATTGAAATTGGAAAAATGAAAATGATTCAAGTAATTTAAAAAAAAGAAGAAAATAAGTAATAATTACTATTGTAATTTGGTTTTGGATTTTTTAAAAAATATATAATTTTTGAGTCAAAGTCTTTACCTTTCATTATATTATAAGTATTTTGATCATATTTAATAAATAAAAATATTAAAAATATTGATTTAAATTGCTGATTTAAAAATCGTAATTAATATTTTAATCAATTTGATTTATATTAACCAACCCTAATATTACAAGAATTTAACTTGATTATGAAAATATGAGAAGGGAATCTTTTATCTCATGTTTATTTACCTTTAAGTCTCCGTAAATGTTTATATCAGCAATGTAGATTTATCAAAGTTTATGTTCCTTATCAGATATTTATTATATTCATTTAAAAATTAATTGAATGGTCATTTTCTGAATATTTAACCAATTTTCGACATTTTTTTTACTGATACCTAAAATGTATCTGGGCACAGATACAATTAAAATACATTTTTTAATTATAATCTTGTAAAGTGTATATAATTCTAAAATTAAAAATCTATTCTTAAAACTCAAAGAATTTAACCCATTTTATTTTATTTTTAAATGATTATAAAATATTATTGTTAGCTTTTATCACGTTACATCTTCGTTTAAACACATTTTAGCCATACTAGAAGTTCTTTCAACTGGTGCGCTGGAAAGGTAGGATAGTGTTATACTTGATTTTCGGGCGCCGGTTAGATTTTTTATGCATCATGTAGACCTCCTATAGGTTTATCGGCACACGAATAGCATCTAGGACAATTTTTAAATTTATTAAAATCATCACTACACTCATTTGTATGATAATCAGTCAAGGTTTGATGGGTTTTAAAATTTATACCCTTACTATATCCTCTTGAGTGGGTGTTGAAAAAGATATAGAGATCTGCACAGGTACCATTTGCATGGCCCGGCCCGGTTCGGTTTTTATATTTTCAAGCCCTGCTCGGATTTTTAAAAAATATATTATGTTTACTTTTCATTTTTATAGCTAATAATGGCGATTTACAATATTAATCCGAACTTAGGGCCAGGTCTGTAGGTCTCTGATATATAATCTATTTTTTTTTCTTTTGGGATTAGTTTCGGAAATTTTAAAAGTTTATTGACCAATCGCTGTGTCAGTTTATTTTTTCCCTTTCTTTTAATCTTCTGGCTAGAAGCCAGTTCAATCAAGTTTGAGAATTGCTGATGATCTTTAGATTATGTGTCTTTGTCATCATTAACTAATCACTAATATTAATAAATCTGAAAATTTATAATACTTATTATTTATCTATTTTTTCGTGATCCTTCGTGTAAAAAATAACCTGTCTTGAATGGAAAGAAATAAATTCTGACAGATATTTTAATAAATTTAATGCAAAAAAATAGGAATATTTGAAAAAAAATTATTTAATAAAAAAAGGGGAAATAAAATTAATTCAAAATGTATCTATAGAACGGACACAACATTTTGGTATCTCGATATAGTGTCTAGATATTTTAAAAAAAAATCTAATTTGCCCCTTTAGTAGAAACTAAACTTTGTCATAATTTAATTAGATAAGCAATTTTATAATTCTTTAATTTAAATTTGAAAAAATTTAACATGATTTTTCATTAAAATTTGCGAAGTTTTAATATTTTTCGAATTTTTTTAAAATGGTTTTTTGGACACAGTCTAATATCAAAAAAATTGATGTATTTAATATAATTATTGATTTATCATTTTTTATAAGTTTATTAAATTTTTTGCAACATTTCTTTTCTCAAAAAAAGGTTTCATTAAATGCTTGATTAATATAGATATACTAATGAATGGAATGGGTACTTCATATATGAAATTAACGAGTTAAAAGAATGAGAAAATAAATATGGAGGTCGTGTCCTGGTTCTTCTTATTTTTTAAACGGCTAAACAGATTTTTGAACTCAGACATCCTATTTAGAATAAAGAACGAACGTATACATTTAGGCTATGTCCAAAACATCGAAAAATTAAATTCACATACTTTCGAAACTTTGATGAAAATAAATAAATAAATTATTTTATATATAATTATAAAAACATGTTCAAAACATAATTTTAGAAAATTTTATAAATTTCAAAGATTTAACTTACGATTTCATTAAAAAATTTAAAATTTGCAAAAGTTTTGAAACTTTTCGAATTTATTTATAATGGTTTTGGACACCGGCTTAAATAAATATTACTTATTATTAATACATTTTTTACGTACAAATAAAACAAATATGCGGTAAATCTATATCTAAGCCTTTTTCTTTTTAGGCTGTTTAGAAGAAACTATATAGACGGATAAACTGATGAATGTTTAAAAGTAAGATGAACCAGGACACTGCTTGGGTGTTTACTTAATTGACCAATTAAATGCCATCTCATGTTTACTCAATATTTATCTTTTTAATTCTGAATGCCTAGGCACAGTGCGAAATAAAAATCGAACTTGATTCCGATTGCAACGCCTGACCTAACCTTTTACCTTCAATGGCATTACAATTTTGAAATCGCATATAAATAAAAATTTTCGAATATTATTCAATTAAAATAATATAGATTAATTCAAAATCATTGTCTAATTATTATATTTGGGTGATCGGCTTATTCTTGCATAAGCCTAAGCCGATATATTTTGGCTAAGACTAAGCCTAAGCTGATTTTGTTTGGCTAAGGATAAGCTTAAGCTAATTTTGATTGACTAACGCTCTTCTTTGCTTTAAATATAATTTAATTCAGAAGGTCAACAATTGTCATATTCGTTATAATATAACTGAATTAATGACAATGTCTAAATGAAACATCAGATATATCATTTTCACCTATTGATTAAAAAAATATTGGGAAAGTTTTAAAATGACGAAGATGACGTCAACCTTATTAATTTCATTATTATCAAATTTCCACAAATTACCTATTTTCTTTAATAATAAGTGGAAAAGTTTAAATATGACTATTGTCACCCTTCTGAGATAAAATATTATTTAATTTATATTAATATTTATTTATACCTAATTTCATTAAAAAACATTGGAAGTTTTAAAATGACAATTATCACTCTTTGAATTACACTATCATTAAATTTACACTAAAATAGAGCGTTGGCTAGTAAAAATCATCTTACGCTCATCCTTAGCCAATCAAAATAATCTTAGCCTTTGCGAATTAATATAGGCTTACGCTTAGCCAATCAAAATAGGCTTTAACTTGCCCTTAGCCAATCAAAATAGGCTTAAACTTAGCCTTAGCCAATCAAAATTGGTTTAAGCTTAGCCTTAGCCATTTAAAATCAGCTAAGTTTAGCCTTAGCCAATCAAAATCGTCTATTACCCAATCATACTAATTATAAATAAAATGATATATATATATATATAACTCTAGGAATAAATATAATAATATTTATATGACTTCAGAAATTTCGACGTATTTATTTTTTAAAAGATATATATATTTACTAATTAGATTATGTATCAGCCTCTAATCGAGCCACCATAGACGAAGCCAAAACCAAAAAGCTTTCCGACGACCTTCGTGCATGCGCTTACTACGAAACTTGCTCAACCTACGGACTAGGCATCGATAAAATGTTTCTCGATGGTAATTATGTCTTTTAACTTATATTATTGATTTGATATTTTTTCTGATATATGGCTTATTTCGCTCAGTATTTATAATAGGCTTGATTATGTAAATTAGGTAATGAAAAATTTCGCCTCGTTTGAGCGAATCGCGCATATTATAAATGCAGCCTAATTTTTGTCTAATAGTGCTTATAAATTGAGAAGAAACGTTTACTGTTGTGTTTTTCTAAAAAGCGCTTGATTGTATAAATTGAAATGACATTTTTCTATTATAAATAGAAAAAACACAAACTATTTTGCGTTTTTTAACGCAATAAAAAACGTTTGTCAATTCGCACATTAAATAAAACGCAAACACTTTTATATGTAAAAGATAATAGAAACTTCGAGGGATAATACTCCTAAATTATAATCACATTCATATATTTCAACAAGTTTTGCAGACATAAAACTAAAATTTTTAATAGGAATTTTCTCAACATCTTAAAGTATAATTTTAAAAAAATTCCCGATTTCTTTTTATGGAAAGCAAAATATTTTAAGGATTGTAAAATTAATAATTTTTAAATTAGTTTTTATGAATATCATTTTGTTTTTAAAGAAATTACTAAAGTAAAATATTAATTATTGTTTTATAAAATATAAAATTATAAAAGGGAATTCGTTTATATTTGCTATTCCATTCGTGTTGTTAAATGGCTCGATACCAATTTTATTAATTAAAATTTAGTCAAAATAATATTTCGCAGGTCTCGAGATTTCTAACAGACGTGCAACCTCTCTGCAGACTATTAGTAAAATCCGCATGCGTAATATTTTTTGGTTGTAATATTTGATTAGCCATTTTTAAAAATGGAGCCGTGTAACAACACTACCCTTTCGCGGAGCCTAAAAAATTGGAAATTTGATTTTGTAATACGAAGTATTGCCCAAGTTAAGAAAATATATCGTTTAAAGTGATTATACCACACCTTATAATAAAGATATTAAGCAAATTCCTATATAACAAAAAATTTAAAATATTTAGAATTTTTATTAAATCCATCGTCTGCTTTTCGAAAAACAATAATAAATATATTTTTTAAATTTAGGACGATTTACTATTATAATGAATTATTTTGCCCAATTAATATTATTAATAAAAATAAATATCTAAATAAGTCTGCGAAAAAATCTTGGAAAGAGATCAATGGAAACTCAAAAAATGCATGATGGCAACTCTGAATAATCCTAATATTACAAAAAGCCCTATTCCTAATTATCCCCAAAATCACTCGTCTCCTAATTACAATAATGGGTTTCAATCGGACAGTAACGTATCTACAACGAATCTTAAAAAATTTTCAAATATCGCCACGGATTCTCAAAACCAGCCATCTTGTGTTTCTAGAATAGAATTTAAGAACGCGTTAGCACCCATAATTAGATCTCAAGCCGATAAAATATCTCATCCTAATAACTTTAATGGTTTTTTTCTATATTAATATATTTAAACATTTTTTTAGGAATCTCACATGAGATAAATAGCATGTCTAAACACTTTATTCTGAATATTTTCCAATAAATTAACTAACAACATCTTTTTTTAAAAAATATTGTTTAGATTTTTGTGTTTGATTTGGGATTAAGGTGATTTATATTATGAAGATTTTAAAAGTTATTTATTGGCACGTCTCTTTGAACTGCCATGACAGAATGCTTCTCTATCTTCAATTTCTTTGTACGGAGTTTCCTTCATTATATCTATATTCCCATATAATATATTAGGCGGAATACCATATCCTTCTAATTCCAACCATGAATTACTCCATCATATTCACGAAAGGGGCGACTCTACTGTAACTAATAGTACTCCGATAAATGCTAAATTCGGAAAAATAGACGGAAACTCACAAGTTTTAATTTAGATAAAAATAATAATATTTTTAAAAATATCAATTTATTAAGTCTCTTATTCCAATCCTTTCTAACAGGCGCGTACGCAGTGGGGGGGGGGCAGGGAGACAAATCCCCCCCCCCCCCCCCCCCCCCCCCAAAAGCCAAAAAATGCAGATGCCGGATTATATTTTTCAAAAATATTATTGTTAATATTAATTTATATTTGTTAATATTTATTCTTATCTCATATATACACATATATATATATATATATATATATAATTACATTTATTTATCACATTCATCTACTAAGTTATTTTATCAATCAATTTCGATTTCAAGTTTTCCTTGGCGTAATTTACCTATTATTTTCAAATTTTAGTGGCGTAATATTTATCTAAATTTCTAATAAAATAATAATTATCTCTGAAACTCCTTGTCCAACAGGGAGAAAAAAATTGCAAGCTTGTCCAACGAGATCGAGTCTCCGCCACAGTAACAGCTATTTTGGAGTTAGAAGAGCTGATTATTAATGCTATTACTGAAATATCACAATGGCTTGAAAGAAATATTTCCTCAGAAGCAAGAAAATTATTGGATTCAATACTTATTCCAAATTTTTTTTCTCATTAGAATGTATTATTTAATTATACAACTATTTTATGTAATACTTTTCAAAAACATAACATTGACTTGATTAAGAAGATGAGAATAGCGGAGAGCATTTTATTAGAACTCAAGGAAATAGAGCTAGTGTTGTTGAAGAATTTCATATTTTATATGTTATTGTTGAGTCAAAAGCAGAGCTATACGTGTTAAATATTTGTCCCCCTCGACTTGCAGCAAGCAAGCTCATCATCAAAACATTAATATAGGATCAGTAGAAGAGTATTATAAAACAAATGTCCCCTCTCCCAACCTTTTTCATATGGTGATAGAAAAAAAATATAAATATTTGTTATATTTTTATCATGAAGATGTTAAAATATCTTATGATGCCTTATTAGCTGAATAACTATGATTAAAAGATTAACTATGGTTGATACAGTCCCAAAAAATGCTATGGATGCTTTTATTTCAAACACATTTTAGATTATACTCCCAATTATTAAAATGGTTATATATATATTAGCAGCTCCTTAGTAAACTAATGAGAGAACCTTCACTTTTTTAAGAAGAATAACAGAGCCTTGCAGAGGTACCATTTGCAGGACCAGGCCCAGATTTTTTTAAAAAAATTTTTCCGGCTCGGGTTTTTTTTAAAAAAATTTTCAGATTTTTTAAAATAAATTATATTTATTTTTGATATTTATAGAATGGCGATTTCAAATCTTTGGTTTTAAAATATACAACTCGGCTCGGATATTTTTTCTTAAAAAATTTTCAGGCCCAGCCCGGGTGTTTTTAAAAAAAAATTACGAGCCCGGCCCGGGTATATTTAAATAAATTAAAATACGGTCCGGCTCGGGGGCCGGGCCTGCAAGTCTGTGAAAAACATACCTATGAAATACAACATCTGAAAGTAGATTGAATGATTTGGATCTTTTGAATATTCATAGACATTTAACGCCAAGCAAGGATTGATAATTGAAAAATTAGCTCAAAACATACAAAATACAATTATTCCTAAGAAACTTTTTGTGTATTAATTTATATTTACAACATTTAAATTTTTTATACTTTATATATTTTAAAAGCTCAAAAAATTCAAATTTCAATTTTGGGTCATTTAAGTGATTCATATCATGGGTTATATTCACTTTATATTTTATGATTCACATTTAAATGCCGGTTTATATATATAATTTTTTTAATTCACATTAGTTTAAAATTGTGTATTAGAAAAGTTATTAATCCTAATAAATTTATGCTTAGTATTTTTAATTAAAAATATTATTTCTTAAAAAAATTTATTATCCCCCCCCCCCAGACCAAATTCATGCGCACGCGCCTGCTTTCTAAAAATATAATTAATCGACCAATATTTAACTAGATATTATCATAAGATGTTACTTTTTATTTATAAAAAAAATTCTTATAAAAATATGGGAGGAAATTTTTATTTTTTTTTCTTCCTTTAGTTTGGTTAACCAAAAATGTGCTCATTTTTGCCATGTCAATCATCGTATCCATATTTACAAATCACTACTAATATTTAAATTATTAACCTTATCACTTAAGAATTGTTTCGTTAAACGAGAAGATAGCCTCAACATGTCTGCTATATTTAGCAATCCATCTAATCCCATTGGACTTTCGAGCCAGTCTAATATCAAAAAGACCAAAGGCAGTTTTGTGCCTCAAAACAATGCCGATATCATGGGTATAGGACGGGTTATACCTATAAAACAAGTTTGCTCCTTTTTTTTAAATAAAAAGTAGAAATATCAGCTGTCGATTATTAGAGTGATTCTATAATTTTGCATTTGAGATATTCGATGTTGGAGTTTAAAATAGAGGTGTATCAAGGGTAGAGTTGTTAAATAGCTCGTTTTGAGCCTATTTAAAAACTGCTAACTCAGTATTTTGGCCAGAAAAATATTGCATAACCCTCGAGATTTCGCTGATAATAGACCAAACCTTTGTAATATCTATGAGCAAAATTTTCAGGCTTGCGTGATATTTTTCTGGATAAAATATTGAGTTTGTCGTTTTTTAAAATTGGCTCGAATCGAGCCGTTTAACAACACTAGCCAAAGTGAGATGCAATCTATACATAAAATTATAATTTCACGATCTGGCCTGAAACATTAGAATTTGACTTAATCGAAATAATTTTAGCTTGTATTCATTAAAAAAAATTTTAATGCTTTTTTATTGTATAAACTTAGGGTTGGCTATACAAAAAAAGTTCCAAATCTCTCAACAAGGAATGGAAGAAAAAATATGTCACTCTAAATAACAATGGCACTCTGGTTTATCATTCCAATATTCAGGTTTTTTTTTTAAAAAAAATATTCTATTTAAAAGCTTAAATGTTTTATTCTATAGCAAAATTATTTTGTTATAAAACTACATTATGACTGGCAGGATGTTGAGCCTATAAGTACAATGGTTCTGTTTTCATTCCGGTTTTTTGAGAAAATTTGTATTAGTTAGTTATGGCATAGTAAATTCGGGTTTTTGAGATTTTCTTATAACGATTTGGTTACGGTTTATAAAATTCCGTTCATTTTGGTGTCGCCATTCAGCTTGATTTGTCATCCTAATATCAGGGATTCCGAAATTTATAATGGTTTTAGTTGGACATTTTGTCAAAATGGATCAAATGAGAGCCGATCGAGATATTTTCGGACCTAAATAGTTTCGGATTTATGTTTGAAAATCGCTCACTATTAACTTCGCGTTGACCCGCAAAAGAGATTAAAAATTACTGAACTCAAATCAGGTTCTAACAGGATCCTTAGTTTTAGGTAACATCCTGATTGTAAAATATTTTTCTGCCTTTAGCATTTTTATGTTAGCTCAGAACATTCTTTTAATTTACGAATATTGTTTATCAGGGTTTATTTACTTTAAAACAAATATAACGTTTTGTTAAAATTATGTAGGATTACATGAACAACGAGAATGGCAAAGAAATATCGCTTCTTCACACCACAGTTAAGGTGCCGGGTCAGCATCAGCAACTACAAACTATTCCTTCCTCAACATCCTCTTCGTCTATTTCAAACAATGTCAACGCCAATCAAATCCATTTAGACTTTAACAAAATTTCCTTAGGTTCTTTATTATATTCATTTTTTTTGAAAAAAAAAATTCGTAGCTTTAAAATTTATTTGTGTTTCTTATAAAATAAAAGCTATTCATATATATCAATAATTAATAATAGTATTCCGATAATTCTGATTGAGAATGGTATATTTTCGTACATTATTTATCTTGACATGATATATTTTTTAAATGGCTTTTTCTATCATAAGAATCCGTGATAATAGCATCCTACATTCTCACTTATAATACAAATCTTTAGGATATCATTTTAGTTTTTAACAAAAACGTTTACAATTTTTTTAAAATATTTAATTAGAAGTTTTTTTAAATTTAGTTCAAAACATAACTAAATAATAAAAAATATATTCATAAAATTAATCTACAAAATCAATAAAACCTTCCTTGTATATATATCTCAGGTAAAATCGAGTAAATACTTATTTGATTTTGAAAATTAATAAGTTATATTTAAATATAATTTTGCTCGACTCATTTATATTTTTCTAGTGTTGTTAAAGTAACTAGTCAAATACAACTTGTTAAATTTTTGCAAAAAATAACTTTAAATATCTACATTTGAAAAATTGTAACTAGTTGTATTTTTTGGAATATAACGGCCGAAAGTAAGTCGTTACTTAAAAAATAAATATATCCAAAAAATTATATTTTTAATATGTTATGATAAATTAATTTTGAAGTTGGTTTATCATACGAATGAATAAGACTGACACCGAATATAGTATGAATTCTGACTCATCATTTGATGACATTCAAATGTTGTAATAGAAATTGTTTCCCCTTCCACAAGAATCACCAAAAATACCGACTTGCCTTGGCCAAGTTTCGAAAAATATTTTGGATTTACTAATGAGAAGGATGGTAATAGAGGCAATAATGTTAAATGTCAGTTACAAACATATGTTTTATAATTAAGCTTGAATTTGGAACCCACACTAAAATTAGTGTTGAAATCACTTAACTTTGGCTAACATCTCTACTGCTATCAAAACTATAATATACCACCAAGTTGCGTCTCATCTTAAAAATCGAGACAAATTTTTTAAGATAAAAACTTGTCTAAACCGTTTTGGAGTTGGCTAAAGAATAAGTAAATCTATTAACACAAAAGATAGGTTCAACTTTTTGGACCTACATTGATGACGCTGAAGTGTATTTTCTATATCTTCGTATAATATAATATATTTTAAAAAAACGGTGTCTTATGAAATAATTAGTGTTGTTATAATATCTAGTTACAAGTAACTTTTGCTAGAAAGATTATATTAAAAATGATGAGTATATAAATAATAGATAAGTAACTTACCAGGTAACTACTTACTATTAAAATGTATCTGTAAACCGTTACAAATTAAATTCGACGAATGTAACTAGATATACCATTTTAACGATTTAATTGTTACTTTTCAAAAGTAATTTTTAACAACACTAGAAATAACATATTATACACATGCAGCTGACCAAATTTAACGAAACTTTAATTGATAATTTATACGTGTATTTGACATAGGCCAAAATTCATCGGTTTCCCAGAGTTTCATCAAACGGCTCAACAGCAACATTCAACAACATTTGACCTCACATTCGCATTCCCCCGTTTCTAATCACCCCCCATCATTGGGATTATTGGAAAGTAGCTTTTCATCGAAATCAATCAACAACCAAATGAATCAAATTGATAATCAAGCAGTTGAAACTGGGTCTAACAACGCCAAAGGAAACGTCGTATGTAACAGCACACCCATGTTGAAGAAGAAACATCGACGGAACAAAAGCGGAGGTTTAAAAAATTTCATTTTCTGAGATTAGAAAAAAAAAATTTTTTTTGAGGGATATTAAAATTAGTTTATTAATTTTGCAAAATTTTAATAAAGATTTTGAAAGAAAAAAACTATTATGAATCAAAACCCATATATAACGATAGTATTAATTATATTCTTAAATCAGGGACAAAATCTAATTATAAGTACCAAAAATGAATTATTTTTTTGACAGAAAACGGAGAAAATTACGATTTTATAATAGTATCCTTAGACAACAAGCAATGGCATTTTGACGCCTCCAGTGCAGCGGTATTTATTTTAAAAAATCATTTTTATCATGTTTAAAATTTACAAATAAAATCATATACTCATTTTCAAGTCATTCTTAATCTTTATTTTGACTCCATTATAAAATATAATTCTTATTTTTTTTAAATATCTTGGGACTTAATACAAATATATCTCGAAATCGATGGTATTCGGAATTTGCGTGTGGTAAAAATTTTAATAATTAAGGAATTTTTTAGTGATGATTATGATAAAGCTTATCTTTTTACGCTTTTGAGAACTAATAAAAAATGAAATATAAGAAAGAAAAAAGAGTAAGTATACTAAATAACTAGTTACTAGTCACTAGCTAAGAAAACTTTCCTATATATTAATGAATAGTCGATATTTAAATTATAATCTCATCACAAGATGACCGACTGACATTTTTGAATATATCTTCCATCATCCAATGCAGACTTTGTCATCTCTATTTTTGAACTATTTCCTAAAAAAGAACAATTTTAAATACTTAATGACTCGAATGGTATAGCTTCTGCTTCAATTACTTCTAAACTATTCGTTCGTTTGCATAGATTTTATTCATTGATGGCAGAAAGGCTCTGATTTCTATTTGCCAAATTTCAAGGCTTACATAATATTATTTTGGCAAAAATCTTATTCTTGCTGTTTTTTGAAATCGACATAAGGCGGTCTTTTTAACAACACTAGACACAACACAATTTTAAAAAGTTTGCAGCAAAACATTAACGATTGCAAGAATGAAAAATTATTCGCACTATAACATTGGTAGATTATATTTTTTCCTAAGGATTGTATTAATATTTTTTAAAAAATAGAAAGTAACATTTCCCCAAAAAACTGGTTTTCTCACTATAAGATGAATTTGATGGTAAATATTATACTATCAAATCAATATTACTTTACTACTTCCCTTTTATATAGGAAAGACAATCTTGGGTTCGTTGCGTCGAAGCCCAAATCCTAAACTGGCTTTCTCAGGACCATTCTCGCCAGGGACCTTTCAATAACTTATACAACCCTAATAATTCGGAAATCTTAGCCTTGGACAGTGATTTCGGTAGTGTGCAAGCTTTTAATAAACTTAAGAGTGCGGAAAGCTTAGAGGCTATCAAGAGTGGAGTTGCTGGTAACCTTTTTTGCGTGGACTGTGAAACACCAAGTAACTTTCTTTTATAACATTTTCTTTATTTATTTATTAATGAATAGTTGATTTAGTTTATAAAGTTAATTTGTTCTTTTAACTATATTTAATTAAGAACTTATTTTATTTTCTATTATTAAATTATATATATTTAAAATCTTCATGTGTATGTAGACCCAGAATGGGCATCTCTCAACCTCGGAGCCTTGATGTGCATAGAATGTAGCGGTATACATAGGAATCTGGGAGTTCATATAAGCAAAATACGTTCGCTACAATTGGATGATTGGCCGTAAAAAAAATTTGAAATGATAAAATATATATTGGGGTTAGATTATAATTAAATTTATAAGTATTGTTAGAAGAAAAGAAAAAAAGAAAGAAAGTGAATATATGTTTTAAAAAAATGATTTTTATTTTTTGAGATCGGTACTGTTTTAATTAATATAAATGAACATTGAAATATCTCAAAAAATAAAAATACATTTTCTACTGAGAAATATTTCATAGTAGGTTTGTTAAAAACAAATTATATTATTTCTTTTATTTTATAAAAAATATATTTTAATATAATTAGGCCCGAATATTTAGCCCTGATGAAAAGCTTGGGAAACAGTATATGCAATAGCGTTTACGAGCGGCAAGTCAAGGGTCGTTACAAACCATCTCCTTCTAGCCCTAGGTTTATATGATTTTCTCTTGAATTTCTTTTGGCTAATAGTAGTTTTTAAACGTCTGATCAGGGTATGAAAATTATTTATTTAATATTTAATTCACCTTTAGCCTACTTTTTCCTTTTATCATTCATATCTTTTAAATTGCAATCATGTTTTGTATTTTGAAATATAAATAAAAGAATATATATTTTGAAACATTACCTTTTTTAAAAAAATAACGCTACTTAATAAACGCCGCTACCTATTATTGGCCAAAAAAGATAGCAAGCTATTTTATTGGTTTCTTTATAAACGAATAATTTTTATTCAAAAAAAAATTCTAGGGAAGAAAAAGAAAGATGGATACGATCAAAATACGAGAATAAAGAATTCTTGCCTCCTCTCCTCTTTCCAGTTTTACTGATATCAGAAGTTTGACATTAAATTTGATTATTAATTTTTGGACATCAAATTGAAACCCTAAAAGCGTTAAAACTATAGACAATTAAAATAAGCCGTTATTTAAGATTCTAAATTAAATTTTGACACTGAAAATTATTTTTGTAAAATCAGAAAACATTTTATTAATTTAAAAAACATATCTTCTTATTAATATACAAATTCAAATAATAAATTAAAGCATTTAATCAAAGCCATTATAAATCGAGACCTGCCCACCGTCCTTCTACTTCTAGCTCATTCCTCCCAGCAAATTTCAAATTTATCACCTCATCATCCTACCAGTATCATAAATAATTCTCCAAATTCCAAAAACTCCGATAAAAATAACGTGATAGTCAACAAAAAGTGCACTTTAAATAATCCATCTTACTTGGGAAAGACCCCGCTACATATAGCTGCAATGTGTGGTAACGTAGTTATAACCCAGCTATTGTTATGGGTAATACATTTTAATCAAATTTAAGGGGTATTATCTTATAATTTGAATAAGACGTGTGAAATCATTATTTTAAGTATAATAAAATTATGCTCAAATTAAGTATCACCTCACATAAATTTATGTTTAGAATGACGCTGATCCCAACGCAATAGATAAAGATGGTTTGACAGCTTTAGATTTAGCAAGAAAAATTGGAGCCAATGACTGTATTAACGTATTATCAAAGCGCATGAAATTATCTACAAATTAAAATGGAATATAAAAGCAGTTACTCTAAAAGACGTTCTAAATTCAAGATTATTAGTGCAATACAGACTGACTTTCATATCCTTTTTTTTTTAAATATTACCAAAATTCATCATTCATGAACTTATCAAACATTAATAATTGTACGATGAACTTTTTTTTTCTCAATAATTGTTATTATTGACGTGTCACATATTTCTTGTTAAAGACATAATATGTATTATATGCTATTTTTTTTATAAACATAATCTTTTTTTTAAAAACATAAGTTATAGACTATATTTATTTTATATTTAACAATAAAAAGTATCCTTAGAGATTGTTCTATATTATATAATATAATAAGGCTTTTTTTAAAAAATAAGTGATATAAAATTCAGTTTTTTAACATTGAAAATAGACAACTAAAATATTTATTTTTTTAAATAAAAAAATTAATTATCATTATCGCATTTCCAATCTCCTGTTGACAACGAACAACCCTCACGTACTTCTTCGACCAAACAAACCTAAAAATGTGAGTCATTATAATGGAGATAACATTTGTTAATTTAAAGAATTCTGGGGACTCGAAATTGTAACCTATATATTTAGACAAACTTTTCATTATAATGGCGTGAACGTTATATGTATTGTATTTCATTTCCCATCGAAAATTTATAAAACTAAACTTAAAAATATATATATGTCTCAAACATTATTATACTATAAAATGATAATAAATTAATTTTTTTTAAAAAAAATCACATTTGATTAAGAACATTAATTTTTATAAAATTGGTTATTTTTGGAGATGGTAATTTTAGTCAGGATCTCCTCCAGCTTCCACATGAGGGATAAAATTGAAGGTAATATCCCTCGTTTTACCCCACCCTCAAAATATTTTTCAAACTCTACCCCCTAAGAAATATATGGAGGCAAATGTCTCTTACTCCCCGCTCATGTAGGCATTGTAATCTTCTAACACAACAATACGATGCAATTTCATCATTGACATTTAAGGGGGGAGGCTCAATATTTAATAGGGTAAAGTCGATTTTGATCTAGTTTTCACACGATTAAACATGGTAATTCATCAAAGCTTACTAGTTTAGTAAAATTTACAAATGTCCTATACCAGCGAAACTTCCCTAAATTCAATATACTGGGCCTATTATCCTGCTTGTCTTTTAGAGGTGCTCATTAGAGGTCTGTAATATGTTTTGAAATTTTTTTAACCCGCCCGCCACTTATAATTTTTTCAAAAAATTTTTACCTGCCTGCCCATTTATCTTTAAATTTTTTTTAACCCGCCCACCTGCCTAATGTTTAAATATTATTTTAATGGCTGGCTCTATTTATTTATTTTAATGTATTTTTTATAATATGTTATATTATGAAATAAAATTATTATTTTTTATAAATTCAAGTCTGTTCTGCTCATTTCGCCTAGAACATATTTAAAAATTTACCCACGCCCTCAATGTTAAAAGTCATTTAGAAAACCTCCGCCCGAAGTATGAGCGGGCAGGCTGAAATCCGGCCTATTGCAGACCTCTAGTGCTCTTTACCAATATACAACCGTTTTTTAAATATTGATATTTTGAGAATCAAATTTAGTGTCATGTCATGCCACAAATTCATATTCCCGTTCCGCAAAATGACCTTTTTTATATGTATGCTTTAATAAATCACTTTTTTATTATAAAAAGAAGAGAATGAGAGTATATTAAACCTCTTAATAAAACTAATCAAAGTATATAAAATATTATATACCTTAACGTTTTACGTTTAAATAAGTTTGTGTATTTAGGCTTAAAGAATTCGAATGTTATAAATAATATTCAAACCCATATTTCGTTCGTGTTAATTAGCTTTTTCGAAATTATATAAATTTCTTTTTTCCTGTTAATTACATTCTCCAATGTATTTTGCCAATTTAAATGACTATAATACTAGATAATGAATGCATTCGTTTAATTTTTTTTTTTAAAAAAAACTAGGCATTAAACGGCTTTGGTATTCTATTTTTTTTAAAATAAAATTAAATATTAAAGCAGTCACTGTCAGCTAGTTAATATTAGTATTCTACAAAAAAAATTTATTAGAAAGTTCTTTTTTTTGATACATAGCAAACATTTTTTTATTATATATCATTCATATTCTATTCAGGAAAAAAAATTATTGTGTTAAATATTTAAAATTCGTCTATTATAATTCTATTTTGAACTTGGGACTTCGAAGTAAATTAAATATATCATATAATCTTTTTCCGTATGAAGTAAAAAGTCATTTATTGTGTTAAATATTTGATAAATACTTTATTTTCAGCTTGAGCACTTAGCTCGGGTCAGGAGTACTTATGTTATCGAGTAATCAATCTATTTAAAAAAAGCGTATTATCGAGAGTATTTAAACCAAGCAGAATGACCGTTATCTGAATCCACGTTGAAAGATTTAATTTATCATCACATAATGTACGTATGAATTTAATTTGTGATCCTAATCAATAGAAATGATAAAAGAAATTATTGGTTTAACGTAAAAGGTTTACATAAATAAAATCATTTATACTTAGGAGTTTTTAAAAAGTTCGTTTCATACTAATATTCTTTGATTTTGTAATAGGAAATATGGAAGGATTTATTCCTATAAAGCTCTACAGGAAAAAAATATATAGAAATAACTTTTAAAAATATATATATTTCGGCCATGCACACATGAAATTATCAGATAAAAAAAAGTTATCTATGGTGACACCAGTGTTGGGGATCAAATCGTGCTAGTCCATTCGATCGATTTTCTGAGTCGTATTTCTGAGATAGGTTTTTATTCTCCGTAATAAAAAAAGGTCCTCTCATTACTAATCGTTATTGCTGCCAAAATAACAGTAACTATAATATTTCTGCTTTTCTTATAAATATTAACCCAAATCGACTAATTTCATTTTGAAGAAAAAGTAGAACTAGGAAGGAATTGTAGCAAAATGCTATTATCCTTAATAGGCACCAACTTGGAGCCAAAATTTGATTGTTTCTTATGGAAGTTATTGCTTTCAACATTTTTTTGCTAAATTTATTATATAAAATTCTTAGCTACTCTCTAAAAATGAGCACGCTATCAGTTATGCTACTATAAAAAGTATCGCGCTGGTTTAACAACTGCAAAATTATATTCCCCCCTGACAATTATTTTTTTAAAAAAAATATTTTTAATTATCTATAAACACGTTATTTTGCTTATTTTTTCTAAAATTTATAATGTATATAAAAATATTTTCCAGTAAATAAATATCGACTTTGGGCATATGTAAGCCCACCAATGTCGCTAAATCTGTAGACGAAGGTGATTATTTTACGACCCAGCCCGAATTTCTAAGATTTGTTTTTGTTTGCTATAATTCATATATTTTTTTAAAAAAAATTAAGAATATAATCAGTAAGGATATTTGTATCCAAAGTCGACCTAATTTGGATATTTAATTGCTTTTTAGTATAGGTTAAAAGGCTCTTGAGCTAAGACACCGTATTTTAGTTTATTTTAAGTATTTGGTGGCATTGTTATTTTCGCATTTTATTCTCTTTTTTTTGTGTTTTTTTGGTTATGTTTTATTCGTTTTAAAATTTTTTTTTAAAAAATGCTAAATAGCCGGCTATTAAGTAATAAGTAAATCTAAGACACAGTCTAAAGGCTTCCTTGATAATTAAAAAAAACCAGTGCAATTATATGAGGAGGGGCCTCACAAATTCACCTACCTAAGTTCCTCTCAGGACGGGCCATAGACCAATGTGTTAAATGAATATTAAATATATCAATTATATATTTTTTTTTCCAACTATTCCCTTTGAATTTTTTTTATTAAAAAAATTAACCCCTACCCGGGTCTTAATTAATTTTTAATCTCTGTCCGCTCCGGATTTTTAATATCATAGGATCTTATGGCGCGATCTAAATGGCACGTTTAAAAATAGATAAATATAAAATATATAAAAAAAAGTGAAATGCTGAGAATATTGTAAAAAAAATTTTTAATTGGTTTTAAATTTTTATTACAATTTAATTAATTAAATTCTTTGAAAAACTATTCATATTCAACTAGTACTCTTAACGACCTTGCGAATCGGGTTCGACAATATTTATAATTTAATATAATTTTAATCGATAAACATTTTTATTCAATTTTTATTATTCGCATTTGAATAATTATGTTTCAATATTCATAAATTATTCGAATGCCATTTACAGACAGAACGTTTTTTCAAAGCGGTTTTTGGGTAATGTTACCAGCAATTTTTTTTCTTTATTTCCAAAAAAATTGTTAAATTTAGAATTAATTTTTTTTTATATATAATATAATATTTAAAAAAACAATCCGGACCCACATTTCAAAACGCCATTTAATCGTTATTAAAATCAAACCAGTTTGTTTTCTATTTATGATTAAAAAAATGGGGATCTAGATTAATTCGTGAAATTTTCTTTTTTTTAACACTTTTTTGGAAATAAAAAATTGATTGATGGTAACATTACTCAAAACCCGCTTTGATAAAACGTCTGGAAATGGAAAATAATAAAAAAATTTAGTCAAATATTATCATAATTCTATTTTTTAATGTAAATCCGCTATATCTAAATGTCAAAATTTTTACTTTTGTTTTTAATTTTTTTTCATGAAGATTGATTAGCTTAGTTATCTTAAACTTTGGAGATTAAATTTAGGTGTAATGTTTTAATTATTAATTACGCCTATTTTTTAAAGTCACAGATATACTATCTTTAATTCTATACAGTAATATATTGAATATTCATAGCTTGGGAGAAATTTAGTTTTATATTAACATTATGTGATAATTTGTAAAGTGTAAGTTTGTTTTGTTATAATTTTTAAATTAACAATAAAATTTTCACGTATAATATGCTCTTTCAGTATTAATCCATTATATCATGGTTTTTTTTTCAAAAGAAAAAGCCTCTAAGTCACGGGATTTTTAATTTATCATTTTAAAATCATAAATTACATAAATGAATTACATAAATATTTGAGAATAAATATGCAATTTTAATAAATATTTCAAAGTATATTTTAAAATTTAATAATATACCTTGTTTTAAAATTATGTCAAAAGCAAACAGAAAATAAATTCCAAATGGCTACTTTTAAAATAAAAGGTACTGCAAAAAACATAATTTAATTAAATTGTCGATAAAAGTCATAGAAATATTTAAGTATAAATATATTTATACATACTTGCTAAAAAAAAGTATGATTAGAAATAGTATATCGAAAATTTCTATAAATTTTCAGAACTCTTCAGTCATTTCTTCTAATACATTTTTATAGTTGGGAATGAGATCTCAGTAATTTATATATGATAAGCCGTTAATATTCATTGTGTAGAAGTGCCCTACATAACATTTTATTCTACTACCTATGCAGTATGAAAAATCACCTCTCATTTATACATATGTGGTGATAGGTAGGGTCGTTAATATTATTAATATTAATAAATTTTTAACATTTTCTAAGGCTTAAAGTCTGTCCAAATGTTTTCAATCCCTTAATGGGATTTTGAGGACAATTTTTAGACTTATAAGATATTGTCCAAATTGGTATATCCAGTATTTTCAATATTTCAAAACTACTTACAATCGTAAACATAAATCAAGCTATATATTTATAACAATTGTATTTCTATCGGTTATATGTACCAAAATTGGGTTATTTAATATTTCAAAACTACTCACAATATCGGAAACATAAAATAAAGCTAATATATTTATATTAATAATAATACTATCGGTTATAATTGATTATTGCTCTCTAGAACTTAGCAATAAAAAATCAAAATTTAATTATTTGCTATTAATGCTAGAAAGGTACAAATCTCTAGAAATTAACAATAACAAAATTAAAATGTTTAATTAATATAATATATGTTTTTCAAGCTTGTATTGCGTTCACATTTATATTTTTGAAATAATTACGATTAGAATACATTTAGAGTAGAATTTGTTAAAGGATTGATACAAATATAATGTTCAAATATATTCGACGAAAATTTTCCACCTATTGTTTAAAGAGAGAATTAATGGTGATTTGAGTGGATGAATTTAAATGTAAATCAAATAATGTTTTTTGTGAATTTATTCGCATCCCTAGTATAAAAAGTAGCATTAAATATAAATTTATATCTCTGAATTCACATAATAACATGTCACTTATTATTGAATCATAAATAATACATGACTGTCTAGTTCAAAAACATATTTTCTTAATATATCTCTTTTGTCAACAAACAATTTAAATATTTAGATAGATCAATATAAAAATAATAAGTAGATCATCAATGATTTTAAGTTACCCAAAAATAAAATTTAAGACTAAATTTAAGTTATGTAATAATAATAAAAATGTAAATTGTAACGCGGTAAAATATAAGTTAAACTAAATTGTTTATGAGGCACAACTAAAATATATTTTTATATATCACTGCTACTATAAATAGAATAATTGCAAACACAATATTTTGTTCCTTACCAGGATTGAACCTGCGTCTCTTTGTTCATATGTTTCCAATCGTACATCTTACCCATTAGGCCACCCCGGCGATCATATAATTCATACAAATAAAAGATAAAAAAATATGATAGAGGTTTTTACATTATAATAATAATGTTAGGCAGTTAAACATTACCATAGATATTATACATACATATATAATCTTTATGAAACTTATTTAATTAATGAATATACTATTTCATAATATATAAATAATATAATGCTATTCATTCGAACATATATTCCCATTATATCAATATTCTCTATATATGTATTTACAAACACCTATTAGCGACGGGTATTAAAAAATTGTAAGGATATTGTTTTGCTAATCTAAAATTACTAAAAGCCATTTGAGGTTAATGATGAGCGATTAAAAAGTGTTTCCTATTAAAATTTAACCCAAAATGACGTGCAATATAGAAGAAAATATAGGACTATGTTCAATAAAAAAGCTTAAAAAATTATTATTTTTTATGAGTTATTATTAAATTAAGTTTTAATAAGTAATTTATATAATATGAAGAAAAGAGTTTCTTATTAGAGTGTGACAACCTAGGTATAACACACACAGACCTATGTTATGTGTTATGATTATATATATATTATATTTCGTCGGTTGTGGAAGCGCATTCAGAGTCTACAAGTTTTCAATATAAGCTAAGAAATTATAAATTTTTATAGAGGAACATTATTCCTTCTAACTTGCGAATTGCGATGTGAGTTCGATATTTCATGAAACCCTGGTAAAATAAATTATTCTTATTTTACCATATAATAATATTAGATTATGACGCTGCAGCCTAAAAACCCATCTGAGTTGCTATTATACAGAATATTAAACGGCGCCAATTTAATTGGATATTTTGAAAGTTTTGTCTCACAGGGTAATTTATATTATAACATATTTTGTTTGATTTTATTTTATACCTTAGGAGGAGATGATGTAAAGCAACTCTGTGAAGCAGGTGAAGAAGAATTTTTGGAGATTATGTCCCTAGTAGGCATGTCAACAAAACCTCTGCATGTCCGAAGATTACAAAAAGTTTTACAAGAATATTGTTCATATCCTGGTAAAATTTTTAGAATAATAAAATATATATTTATATATAATTTTAGAAATATATGAACAGGATTTTTCTACAAAATTTAATGTTACCTCATGTGTTTTATCAGATTATTCAAAATTATCTAATACTCCTAATCATATTAAGTACAAAATACATGTATATTTATTATATTAGATTATTACAGTACTCAAAGTCTTACCCATCCTTACGAATATACTCAAACTAATTTTAACGAGGACCTTAATTTAAAGGATAATTCTAGTGAACCTCATAGAGAATTGAAAACACATGAATTAGAATATTCAAAAACTAATTGGCTTAATAAAAACCCATCATTTATATATAATTCATTTGCTAATTCAGTGGCAAATGCCAGCATTCAAGAATCTCACCATTTAAATAATCATCCATTTTTATATCATGAGAATAACCATTCCAAAATTCTGTACACTAATTCATCTCCACTCAAAGCCTATAATCCTCAAAATTATAATGATAATCAAATAGCATTTATTTCACCAGTTTTGGCTTCCAATAATAAAAGTCCATTCTTTCAAAGCAATATAATAGATAATAAAAGCTTATCTGTAAATAATTCGCCACCTCATCCATCACCTTATAATTTTAGTATTAAATTAGAAAATAATCAAAATACTCAAAGCATAGTAAATATTGATGATCAAAAAGATAATGATGACTTACATTTATCAGTCAAGTCAAACTTTTTCAAAAATAGTTTAAATAATATTTTTGATCAAAATAACCTACAAAGTACAGCAGAATTATTGCTCAATACACCGGCATTTAAATCTACTCTTCTAGAATTGGTAAATAATTAATTTATGTTTTTGCTTAATTATGCAGTGGCACAACAAGTTTGTTCTTCTAATGCTGCAAATATTTTTGAAAAAAACCTTTATTTTTAAAAATTTGAATATTTATTAAGACCACTCATTGAGATGCTAGTTTTGCTAAGGTTCTTACTAGTGTTGTTTTACAACCCGATTTGTATGATGTTTAAAAATGTCCCTATAAGATTTTAGCCAAAATAATATTTAAATCTCGAAATTTGTCAGAGATCTATACCTTTCTACATTCTATTAGAAAAATTTCCAGCCTTGCGTAATATTTTTTAATATAATAGGTTATAGCTTTTAAAAATTAAGTCATATGACAACATTAGAACCTGACCATAATATTTTAAATTTTACTAGACTTGTTAAAGCATTAGATATATTTGTTTTCGATACTTTTAAAGATACATTTTAATAAACTTTTATTTAATGCTTTTATATTTAAAATAAAAATATTTGAATTAATTTAAAAAATATATATTAAAAATATTAAGTAAGACTAGTAATAAAAAAAAATATATAAATATTCAATAAATATTATTTTTTTCCCTCATTTAAATCTAAGATATCAGTTCAAGATTGTAAAGGATTTTTTTATTATGTAAAGGAATATATAAATCCTTGCTTAGTCATGATGCCCATTTATTAAAAACAATACCATTATTGAACAATATTATTTTAAGCAAATTAGAATTTTTTAAATTTCTTTTAGATATTCCCCTGACTTTTAATAATAAATTACAAGTTTAATGTAAAAAAATTTTCTTAAAAAGCTCGTAAAGAGAATTTGTTCATGGTATTGGCATTTTTTTATTATTATATATGGTGTTCCAATTGAATGAGAATAAAAATATTGTTACATATTTTATGCTCTCATACTAAGAGTTTCTGTTCAAGAGCAATAACAAACCCTTTATATAAGTATGATAAAAAATGTATCTGTATCTAGATAAGTTTTTAGATGATATAATTATTTTAGACTAGATATATGTATTTAGATCCATGCAAAAAGTATCTTTTAACAACTCTGAAATTTACTAATTAAATTTATCTTTTTTAATATTTTGCCAAAATAAAGATTTTATATAATTTTATAAATGCAGACCAAAATTTCTATAAGATACTTTTCAAATATATACAGATAGATGGTCTAAAAAAAGTATCTAAATACAGATTAGAGGCCAAGGCCCAGCCCATTTTTCGTTAAGATTTTTTGCACATGTCGCCCAGCCCATTATTTAGATGTTTGTCTGGCCCATTTAACTCCTGGCTTGTTAACATCAAAAATTCTGACCTGGTCCATTAATTCTTTTACACATTTTTTGGGCATAACATTTATAATTCGATATCTAATTATCCTCCAATAGGTTCTTATATATTTGTAGAGATTAGAGGTCTGCAATGAGTGAGGTTTTAGCCTACCCATCTATGCCCACCCATCCTAAATGAGCTGGTGAGTGGGACAAAATTTTTTAGACAATGGGAGTGAATGAGGGGGTTAAGAATAGTTTTTAAATAATAGGTGAATGGGCTGGTTATTTTTAAAAAATCAGTGTATATATAATTTTTTTGTCATCGTAATTCCATATAAATGTACATATAAATTTTAAAGTTAATTTTATTAAATAAAATTTATTGGAAATTACATTTTCTATTACTTATAGTAATATAATTTTTTATATAATACAATGTTTTTTATTGCATTTGTGACAGATCAAATATATAATAGACTTTGGAAGGGCAAATTATATAAAATTCATCTTAATTTTTGAGATATTCTAGGCTTCTTTGCTAAATAAAAAATATTCACATAAATATTTTTCTTCTATATTTTTTAAATATTAGATATATTCGACTAAATTGTTTAGTTCATATGCTAAACACAATTTTAATTTTATTTTGGTATTGGAAAGTACTCCCGAGAGATAGGCAATATTTTGTCAACTGCCGTTGACGATATATATTGAAAAAAGTAAGAATGTGAAACATCTAAGCAAGACCCTAGAACAAAATATTGGCATAAGATGGAATAGAAAACAAAGTGTTAGAAAGAATAATTTATATAATATAGGACGAGATTTTTGCAGGTATATCTGGACATTTTTTTTTATTAGATGTTTCAAATTATTGAAAGAAAAGGGCGGGCATGAGGGTAAAATTTTTAAAACCAATAGGCAGGCTGTTCGAAACCATGAGTGGGCAGGTGGGTGGAAAAAATTTAAAATTCAGGCCATGCAAGGTAGTTATTTTAAATATAATTGATTATATTTTATAAAATTTTGCAAGCAAGGTGCATTAATTTTTATTTGTTTGTAGAATGATCAAAAACTTGTTTATGTTTATTGTAAAAAATAATGTAAAATGATATATAAATTTTTTTTTTAAAAAAATTCCACAATTCTTAAAATAGGTATTCTAAACATGATGGAATATATTTTCTATAAAAAAAAATGATCTAAAGTTGTAAAAATAACACATTGCGGAAAAAAACACATTGACGCTAACATATATAGGGCTGTGCCGATCCACATATTTTTTACCGATCCGATATTTTCCAATATTAGCTCAAAACCGATCCGATATTTATATTGATTTTTCACCACCCCCCTGTGAACCAAAAGTAAGTAAGAAATCAATATTTTTTATGCAAAAATTCGAATTATGCATATAATTTAATTTTTTTATTTCTACAATAATTAAAAAAGGTTTACGGATATTGCTAGTATTAAATTAGTTTTTCATTATTCCTCCCCGTGAAATTAGAATTCCGCAGATAACGCATTTTTGCAAAATGTCTTATGTAAAATATTTCCATCAGACACCATATTTAAAAAATTATTTTATATAAGGTATAAATAATTAAATTAGCGTTATTATTTAAAAAGATTTAAAATAAATAAAACTTTGGGTGTACCTTTCTATTTTTATAAAAAAACTTTTAAAATACTATAATATTTTTAAAAAAATAAAATTTAAGGGGTGTGTGCATTTGCATTGTTTGAAGAAAAAATTATTTTGAAAATATTATTATTAATGTAAAATAAATAATACATAAAATAATAAAAAAAATAAAAGTAAAAAGATCGGATCGGGTTTTTACAGTTATCGGCCCGATCTGATATTTTTGGAAAACGCTAAATATCGGTGCCGATCTGATATTTAATATCGGCACAGCCCTAAACATACTAAATATTTAAATAAATTCGGGTCAGACAGGCAAATGATTTTTATTCTGGGTCCAGTTTTACGGGACAAATAAAAGAAGATTCATTCAAAATTGGTTAGGCTTGACTCTAAAAATTAGGCCCGATGCACATCACTAATCTCTAATCTATGACTTCTATTTCAATATCTTAGAAGTACATGCAATTGAATCATATTTAGGGCTGTGCAGGTTTCCATATCTTTTTACCTATCCAATCCAATATTTTCCGAATCCTATCTTATATGATCCGATATTTATATTGATTTTTTGCCATCTATCTATCTTGGAATCAATAGATCAATATCGTGAAAAAAATAATATTTATATTATAAGATACCTATTAACTTTCATTAATGATTAAGTGTATTTTTTTTTCTCTCTCCATAAGTTAACCACGTCATTTAAAAATATGGGAAATGTTTATGGTAGATGAATGTGACTCAGATTCTTTTCTTATTGTTATTGCATAAAATATAACAAAAAATAAATCAAATTTTCTTCCACTTAAATCTTTCAAAATAAATTCAATTATTTTTTAAATATTATTAAATTAATTGAATTTTGGTTACTTTTGGCTATCCAAAATATCAAAAAATACGATTCGCTAATTTTTGAAACTTTATTCCTTTTTAATATATAATTAAAAACATGTCCAAAATATAATTCTAAAAAATTTTAAAAATCACGATTTCATTAAAAATTTTTACTTATTAGTCTTTTAGTAATTTTAATTTAATATCTATTTTTTTTATAAAAAAAATATTTAAAACTTTTATTTATTTTAAAAAAGATATATTAAAAATATTTGCATAACCTTATGATGTATATATGATATCTTCAATGTGTTTTTTCCGGCAATGTGTTATTTTTATAACTTTAAATCATTTTTTGAGCGCGTTTTTTTAAATTTAGAAATGGGATTTTACCGGTATTCTATTATGTTAGGAATACCTATCTTATGAATTGTAGACAATATTGCCGTTAACCTTTTAGTAATTTATAATTTATATGAAAAATGTATGGAAAACTATTATGAATTAAATTAAGTTCAAATATTCATAGAAAAATTGTTTGAAATTCATAGGGTGGGTATTCCACACATGACGGCATACATTTCCTGTAAAATCAGATTTTTAAAAAAGCGCTCAAAAAATGACTTAAATTTGAAAAAATAATACATTGCCGAAAAAAAACATTGACGCTAACATATATAATAAAAAAAACTGTATTAAAATAATATTTAAAGACCATATTAAAAAAAAAATAGCTGCAGATTTCTAAGCCAATATTCTGGCGCAGATATATGAATTTTTTAGGATCGCGATCAAAAGAATATTTATATTTGCGCCGGAACATTTGCTTAGAAACTTGCAGTCCAAACTTTTATAGAATTTTTTTTTGTTTAATATCTATTTTTTGTATGGTTTTTAAATTTTATTTTAATAAATTTATATCAATATTATTTTATAAATAGTTTATATGTTATTTTTAATATAAAAAAAAATCATGAAATAACACAAATCTGTAAATATATCATATAGATCATAAAATATTGGCCTGATGTGATATTTTTTTAAAACGCCAAATATCGGCACTAATCCTATTTAAAATTTAATATCGGCACAACTCGATTCATATTTCGTATCATAAATAACTTGTTTGATTTTTTGTGGGTTTATTATTTTATTCATAGGTTTAGTATATCAGTTAAGCAGCTCAATACAAAGAAATTCGCTTTGAAATTTTAAAATTTTTAGCTCTTGGATGACCCATTGAGGTTTTTATGGAAATTTGCCAGGCACAGTACCAGACCGATTTTATATATATCGGAGACCTGCAGAGGTACCAATTGCAAGCCCCGGATTTATAAAAAATTTCGGCCCGGCACAAAATTTCTTCATTCGACCTAATTTTTTTAGATAAAATTGTTTTAAAATGATATAGGAAATATGAATAATCCATATATACAACAATTTATATATATAATGTATATTTGATTGTATATATAGAATGTATACAATAATCGCGATTTAAAATTTTCGGTCCTCGGCCCACAAGCCTAACTGGGCTTTACAGATCTCTAACACAGATGCATGATTAAAAAATATTTCGAAATACAGATACATTTAAGATACCTTTTAAATATTTTAGTAATAAAAAACGCAAGATAAAATTGTATCATAATATATCTACAATTATATATCTATATAGCTCAAAATATATCTAATGATACAGACAGATACAATATTATTTTAAACAACTCTTGTGCTTGTAGACAATGCTTCTATTTTTTATATTTATTTAGGGTATAGATTTATTTGCAACAGCCCACACTACCCCACCTGCCTCAGAAGATCCCAGCTCATCAGACAATGCTCCACCAAAAATATCTAGTAACCTTTTGTCTAATACTAGCATGGTCAAAGCTGTTTTATTGGGAGAGGAGAAGGAAAAAATAAAAGCCAACGTCATATCACTCATCGCAACTTTACCTCCTTACACTCCCAAGAACCTTAACACCAAAAAACCCATTAACAAGGAGATAGATGTAATGGGAATGGGAAATGTCAAAAATAAATTGAATTATAAAAATATAATGATTTATTTTTAATTAGCAATAATTTTATCGTGGGGTATTCAATTATATAAAACACAATATTGGTTAAGCCTAAGATCATTTAAGCCAATAATTTTTGCGTTTCATTCTATTTCCTTATCTTTTCTTGATTTTATGTCTATATATTTTTAAATATTAAAATTGTTAACTCTCACATTTTAGGACCTAATAAACTCAACAGATCGAAACAATGATTGGGAGAATAAAGTGCGCATGTTTGGTGCTATATATGGCAGATTTGATTCTAAGCGTAAAGAAAAACCCATGTCTCTTCATGAAGTATAGATATATTATTTTTTTTGATAAAATTGAATTAGTATATATATAATACATATATATGGTATTTTTTTCTGAAAAGTAATGACTTATTCGGAATTCTGACGTGATCTCAAATTTAATTTAACTGGTTTTATTCCAACTTGTTTAGAATAACCTACTCTTTGGATTTGGGGCAATTTCGCCATAAATTTTTATGTAAATTTTTAAAATTTAAATGAAAAATCTATTTTATAAATATTAATATAAACTGAGTAGTTCAAAAGTTGAATTGTTCTGAAGTTTCATCATTTTTCAAATTTAAGAATATAATGGTCACCATTTTCTAAAATTAACCTAACCCCATTATGTTTCATATACCTAAATTCGAACATAGAATTAAGGGGTATGATACCAATACCCACTTTATTATTTTAACCCGGTGAAATCTATTTATTTTTATATTTTAGTTATACGTAAACGAAGCCGCCATGGAGATCTGCATTAAAAGACCCGAACTTTTGACTCGTCGCGACGAACTTTTTCCCCTGGCCAGACAAGTGGTTAGGGAAAGCGGTTACCAGTACTCTAAGACTAGCAAGTTTGTATTATTGATTCAAACTTATTGTTTAAACATTTAAATCTTTAAAAATGAAGAAAAAAGCATTATTTTCTCATTATGTGCATTCCTATCTTTAGTATAATACCAACATACACCTTTTTTATTTTACAAAAGGAGAGCTCGGGTTGGGTATGCTAGCTCAAATAATGGCAATAATCACAATAATAATAAAACGTGTGATACAACATTGAATTCGAGTTCCTTCATTTCTGCGAATAACATGAGCCAAATCGATTCATATGGGTAACGCAAAATAATTTTAAATGTATAGTTCTTTAAATGAATTAAAAATGTTTTATACGAATTACTAAATTTCGGTAAAAAATTTTTTCAATTTCTATTTAAAACCACATTTTTAAAGATTTCAATAATTTTTTTTTTCATCTTTAAATGTCAAATTTTAAAGAGGAGACGTTAACAACGATTCCAATGCATTACCTAACACTTCTCATTTAGGTTTTGACTCATCTGCCATTAAATCCGAATTTAATCCTAACGATTTTGTACAAGTTAGTTAAAAAATTAATTAATTTTTTTTAAATTTTGTAATTTGAATTGATAATTATCAGTGACTTGCAGAAATACCATTTGTACGGCCCGGCCCGGATTTTTTTTTAAAAAATTTTTTCAGCCCAGCCCGGGTTTGTTTTTTTAAAAAAATTAAGGCCTGGCCCGGATTTTTTTAAAATATATTTTATTTATTTTTGATTTATATAGCTAATAATGACTATTTCAAATATTTGGTTTTAAAATATACCGCCCGGCCAGATATTTTTTTTAAAAAAAAATATCTGGCCCAGCCCGGCCTGGGTAAATTTAAAAAAATTATAATACGGACCAGGCCTGCAGGTCTCTGATAATTATTATATAATAATTTTGCCTAAAATTAGACCTAATAATGTATATATCAGGGATGTGAACACTTCGACAGAAAAGGGTCCTGGATAAAGGAATAAAATTTAAAAAAAATTCTCTGGTTTAAGGGTTTGGAGAACATAAAGATATATTGGCTCAAAATAACACAATTTTTTTTCTTTTCATTTATTTATTTATTTTTTATACTACATTTAAAATGATGTACTGTAAAAAATACTGAATAATTTTCAAATAAATACTTGACAATTATAATTTATATTATAACTCAATCTTAATTCAATTTTGTTACTGCTCCATATTTTATAAAAACATTTTAAAAAATAAGTAAAATACTCCCCATTTATAATTTCATCCCCTAAAAATCTTAGCCTTAATTCATTTATAATAAAATATTATATTCCAGAGTTGCTAAAGGATCAAGATCAAAGGATTGACGATCATAAATTCGATCCTAATTTTGACAATTTACCCGGATTTATTGATATCTCTTAAATTGAGGATGGTGATTGAGATCATTTTGTTAAATATTCGATCCTTTTGAAAAATTTTTTTTTTTCTTAAAGAGTATATAAATAAAATAAAATATTTTTTCAAAAAAAATCTATCTCCATCATACTTTAGCATTCTCCGCCATATTTTTTATTTTTCTCATAAATTTTATCAAGACAACATTTGCGAATTTTATTTACAACTTACATTTTATTTATTGAATTAAAAATAAAATATTTTTAGGTATTTACTAATGTCTATTGTAGATCTAGAAGAAATTACACATACAGTTATTGAAGTGACAGATATAAATGAGAACCTTTGCCTTTTCTTCATCTCTATACCGTATAATAATGTTAATTAACATTTTTAAAATAGAGATTTTTTCAATTTAAGTTTAATTAACCTTAGATGAATCTGCCAAAAAATCTGTTGGTAAAAAAAAGGTTTATTACCCATTTGGAAAACCTGTAGGATTAATCACATGCAGATGCCTATTCAAATGTGGTTGTATTGATAAAACTGATACTTTCATTGGGATAAACTCAGGGTTGTGCATTTGACCGGTCAAATACGTTTCGGTCAATTGACCGATATTTGACCGGCCAAATATGGTCAAATGTGGTCAAATTCAAATATATTTTTTTAAAGTTAATATTAACTTTATTTTGAATATAATAGTAAAATGAATCTATAATATTAATTTTTTATATTCATTCAATAACTAACGTGTAGCTATCTGTATCAGAGTCTTGTTCTGATTCATATTCAATATTATCATTTTCTTTAATATTTTTTAAACAATTTTCCTGATATCTTAGATCTTAAATCGATTTCTATTTTCATAAGAATATTAACCCAAATCGACCTATTTCTTTCTAAAGAAGAAGTAGAACTAGGAATTGTTAGTCTCTTAATGGGCAGGGTAGACAAAGTTTAATCTATTAACTTGAGGTCGGAATTGATTGTTTCTGGAAATTACTACTTTCCACATATTTTGCTATATTAAACATGCTGTTTTTGCTTCTGAAATTAATTATATCACTTAAAAATTTTGGTCATCACTACCTTGTAAAATAGCTAATTCTTGAATTATATCATATACTTCATTAATTACACTACTAGTGAGTTCTCCTCTTGATATTGTGGACCCGAAAAATAAGCAAACATTGTGATCACATGTATTTACATCTTTTTTCCCTTTTTTAAACATATTTTTAATTTATTTTTCCTTTAAATTTTTTAGAGTATTTGACCGTATTTGACAGGTCAAATACTCCTCCGGTCAATTGACCGGTCAATTGACTGAATTTGACTGGTCAATTGACCGACTTGCCAAAATCTTTTCTCAAAATGCACTTTTCCTAATAATTTTTTTTAAAATTCACATGATGATTCAAATGGATGTTTGATTGACAATAATTTAGAATTTTTTTTATTATTTAATGGGTAAGTAATTATTAGTATAAATAAATATTGTTACATTATTCTATTAGAATATATTTAATTAATTTTCATATTAGTAAATTTTGCATCAATCATAAATTTTCTTCAGAAATTTATAAAATAGATTTTTCAAAAAGGTGGATCCTGTATTTCAATCCTTTTTTTTGGAAATGATCTTGATCAGGATTCCGTCCTTTTAAAAGGATCGATTAACAGGTCTGATTATTACCTACATTAAAAATTCACAATTCATATTATATTATTAGCCTAAAATAGCATTTATAATCAATTATTAACTATAAAATGGAAGTATAAAGACCAGAAAATTTTAAAAAATGATTGAAAAATGATTCCACGAAAAAAAAAATTTAATTTATTTTTCATGAATTTAAAAAAAAATAAATATTATTTAAAAATTTTTTTAATATTTTTTGACACCTAAAATCTCCACTTTTAAGAACAGTCAGGGGTTGGGCTAACAAAAATACGAGAACTCAGGAGGTTGCAGGTCTGGATTCACATCCCTTGATATAAAGACTATTAGATTGACTCTCATTAATTAAAGGTATCCATACATGTGTTAGCCTTAACACCATAAAAGGTCTCTGATTCAAATCTGATTTTAATATTCGGAAATTTTAAATATAATAATTCGATGAATACTTTTTTGTTTTATTTGAATCGCAGCACGATTATGATAAAACCTCTCTGTGATCTCATTGCCTTAACTATATATCTCACAAAATTTAACATGTTTTAATATTAAGCTACTCTAAGAAACTTTTTGAGTTATAAATCATTCCTTACATCTATTTTAATAGCAACTATACCCACAAACATCTCAGAACCCATTATCGCTACCACCCAACGATGCTTTCAATAATAAAGTTAGGGAAAACAGCAAAAGTACTCCTAATGTTCCTCCCACAGATTATTATCACGATGATGATAGAAAGTTTATAAATTAACTGAATAATAATAAAATATATTTGTTTCTTGGATATGCAATATAAATATGAACATTATTCTGATATTTGATTTTAAAAATAAATATTATAAAAAGGGTAGTTTTTTTATCATTAAGATTGAATTAATTTGGTGTAATGTAGTTAAATTTATTTATTGAAACGTTATTGATTGATTTTTGTTATAGTTTTTCAACCATGCCTCATGCAGCAAAATCAATCAGCCATTTTAATAAGTATTCATCCATATCACATCGTATCCCATATAATCAAGGTAATATTATATAATCTGATATTTGATCATTTGAAATATTGATTTAGACAATTTGTTAGGTGACTGACCTAAATCTGTTTCATTGATACCGTATTGCAACTGAACTGTTCATTGAAGTATATGCTCGAGAAAAAACAATTATAGTTAAAACTTGTCTAATTTGGGCTCTTAATATATCGGGCAGCTTCCTAATTTGATTAAGATTTTGAGTCCCAATTAAATTCCTATTAACTAATTAGAAAGTTGAAAAAATTGGGAAACTTAAGTTAAAGTTGAAAAGTCTTGATAAATTGGGTAACTTGTCTAAGTTAGGCAGGAATCTTGGTAACAACGATGCATAAATTAGACAGGTTTTACTGTATATAGTTTGTTGATAAACAAATGCTTCGCAGTACAGTACACAACATTAATATATATGTGAATAAGATTTGAATATGATTAAATTTAATTTTTGTTACAATAAATGGCATATTTTTCAAAAATTATAAATTTGTAATATTAACTCTTTCGCGCCCAGTATATTTCCCATGAACAAAAATTTTTTTTTCTCTAAAACTGAGTTAAACAAGACGCAAATAACACATTTTCAACGTTTTTTATTTCAAAAAAAGTGTGCATATATATAGAATTATGAAATGTTGCCATTTGTCATCAATGGGAAGTTTATATGTAAAAAAAAATATTCAATTTATTTTGAATAATTAGAAATAAAACAATTCCGTTTTTTATTTAAACGTAGAGATATTTTACATTTTATACATTCTAATCTGAAATAACCATTTGTGCTTCTATCTTTGCCTGATAGCCGCCAATGGCCAATACCCTTTTTTATCAAATCTAACATCTGTGATTGGATGAAAATTATTCAATTTCCTTCTTTTTCTCAATTTTCAAAGTAGATCTATCTTCTTATCTATCATTTTCATTTCCAACTATCATCAATCCTTTAGCTATCTGAACTAAATACCAAAAAAGATAATGTTTAATATTTTTATGTTTCATGTGGCGTCTTTAGAGCAACCATGAGTTCACTACACAGGAATCTAATAAATGAAAGAAAAACACTTTTATTATATGTCAGTTCTGTAGAGTTCAATCAACATATCACGGAGATCCACACCGCCCATACCACCAATATAGTTTTGAATTATGAAGGAATTTCGACATTGAGAAAAGATTTATCAGATACTGACCATCTTCTCGTTCGTGATATGGGATTTATACCCATAAATGATGATATAGTGATAACCGATTTGTTATCAAACCATTTGCATATTATAATATTAATAAAATCCACTTTATAATCAATAATCAAGGGACCTTCTTTCTTTTTTCTTTAGGATTTTGTTATAAACCAGATGGCATTCCTATAATCGATTAGATCTAAGGGTCCCCGACATGATAAAGCCATTATCTTTGAGGGCTGCTAAATTATACGAAGAAAAAAAGTTATCCATGTAAATTTTATAATTTTTATATAGGGAAACAGTTTTTAATAGTCGAACGATATCTCCACTAATTCCCATCAAATTTTTTTTTATTTCCTAAATATATCTTGAAATCATAGAGCATTATAGGTCATATTTAGATCAACTACTGTGGCATTTTCATAGCCCTCATCCTTCTAAATATCTACATCAGATATATCTCATTCTGGTATGTGCAAACGTGTTCGAAACAAGTTAGAAAATAAATTTTTAAAATTTTGTTTTAGTATGTTGAATTATTTATAAAAAATTTTAAAACAAATTCCCACTTAACATTTTGTAAATATTATACTGGCTTGCTAAATGGATAACAACCTATATTCAATTCTTACTATATCATATTTTCAATATTTAATTTTAAAAAATTTATTGAAAAAAATCCATTAGAAAATCCCAATATTACCAATTTGGATTTCCTTCAAAAATCATATAATTAATAGTTATTGTTAATTTTTTTTTACTAAACATGAAATACTAGCAATAATCTATAATAAATATATTACATACCCTTGATTTATATATATTTATATAGAATGGTTTGGTTATCTATGTAAAAGTGTAAAAATTTTGGCACGTAAAATACCAAACTTTGAACTTGTATTTTGATATAATAAAATAATGATATTGACATAATGAAAAAATATGAAATAATAAATATTGTTTTTAAATTATGTGTATAAGTAGCAACCATTCGTTTTTTAAATATAAAAATAAATTGATTAAAAATTTTGATGTCAAATTATCTTGCTGGGCGCGAATATTAAATGAAAAAAAAAGTCCTATTTATATTTATTCTATTTAAAATATTATTTAGCATTGCTTAAATAAAAATTATCAATTTTCTTTTCTTGGATACGTTTAACATTTAGGATAATAAAATATATGATTTAATCACTTTACTTCATGAGAAATATTCCCATACATGCAATAAACTGTTAAAAGTTATGGGACAAATAAAAAAAAATTTTTTAAGAATATTCTTGTAAGCTTTATTTTAATTTTTTTTATTAAAATTGTCTTAGAGAATTGCATTTTAAAAATGACAAAAGAAATTAAGAAAGTTTTAAATGTACCCGAAATTTACTATATGTTTATCTGCTTTATTTAAAAAAAAATCAGATTACCAATTAGAAACTATGCCTCCTCGTATACCCAGCTTAGAAAAACTCAACTCTTATCTTTACAGTTATCAGCAACATAATCTTACCTCCAATTCCAATAATACTCAAAACCACTGCAATATGTTGCCATCTTATATCGACAGAAATTCGTCTCCCCCTGGCCTAGTCACTCCTTACCATCCCTCGAAATCGTTTAATTTAAATGTTATTGAGGAGAGTAGAGACTCGTCTATATCTCATCGACAAAATCTTTCTAGTATTTATCCTTCCAACTCTTTAATGATAAACCAAGCTAATAATGAAAACGGGGGTTCACTCATGATTTCAGAAAATCCTTCAAACCATTACCCCGTCAATTCGTTAAATTTAGTGAACAACGAAAATGAGGATAGAAGCTTACACCAAATTGCGCAGCATGAACAACGGAACGAGGTCACGATCGATACTCAGCCCATACATTTTCCCAATATTTATTCGCCACGATGTACCTATAACTCTTATAACGAGCCATTTAACCCTATGCCACAAACGCATTATTATACGGAAAGTTCGATGACCAATAATGAACTCGACGCAAGAAATAATATGATGGAAAAAAACGAACGATTGAAAGAGGTGGCTTTAATGGATAATAAACAGAGCGGAGATATCGATAGGCCGACTAGTACCAATAGTAATAATAATGTTAGGATCATGTCTACATGAATAGTTTTTTCCCCAGAAAATTTGGGCAAGGGGGGAAAGCAATAATATTTTTTTTTAAATATTGTGATCCATCACTCACAGATGCATAAATCAATTCAGAAATGTAGGTGCAGACTTATATTTATTTATTTTTGTTTATGAACAGTTGTATATTATATTAATCAGATTTTTTTTCACTTCAAATAGATACTATAAACAATCAATTAGGTATTATTGGTTGTATTTTAGAAATTGGAAATATAATTCTTTTTATTTATCTAATTTTTTTTTGTACTGGACCATATTTTATAACTTAATTATTTTTTTAAGAATTTTTTTTTTAATTGACATAATATTTATTTTAATAAAAATTTATGTATATATGAATTATTATATTTTAACATTACAATTATTAAGTCACACTTAATAAATTTATATATCTTTTGGTGAGTTTTTATTTAGTTTCATTACATTGTAATTAATTTATACAAACGAATAAATTTTAATTATTAACGAGGAAATTGATTTCATAAATATGTTTACAATAATTTGATTATGTTCAAATTTGTACTAACTTGATCATCCGCAAATTCTTGAAGGCCTAATGAAAACTTTTTAAAAAATTATTTATTTATAAAGCCAACTATATTTTATGCTTCTCATTATTCATAATATTTAAAATCATTTTGGGAATACAAAATATAAATTGGATTTTAGTTAAGCGATCCACAAATAATTACTTGATTTTACCCAAACATTTAGGTATGCTATTGGAAAAGATATAGCCACATGAGTTAAACTATCGCACTTTTATTTAGGGCCTGGTAATGTTGTTAGCTCGATTTCGCCGATTTTAAATTAAGATGCTTGCCAAACAAATATTAAGAAAACCCCGAGATTTCGTTAATAGATGTCCAAACCTTTCTGCCATCTATAAGAAAAATCATCAGGCTTGTGTAATATTTTTAAAATCGAGCCATTTGACAATAGTAGGACCTCGCTATAATATTTTAAAATTACTATTGTTACTTTACAAAGGTAACAGTTGTATTTCTAAAAAGTAATAATAAAAATTATACAAATTTTTTTTTAAAGTCTATAATTTAAAACTTTAATAAATTTTTACATTATGAATATATAATATATGAAGCTAATTTTACAATTTAAAAATATTATTTAGATAAATAAAAAAATAATTGTACCGAAATAAAATACCAAAATAAAGAATTTTTTTTGATTATTTGAACTTAATAAATTTTATTTGACTTTAAACAAAAAAATATTTTCGAAATTGTTAAAACCAGGTTAGTACAAAAATAAGCTTCTACTAAATATAAATGAATATAAAGATAGTAAATGTTAATAAAAATATTATAAGAAATATCTAGGTTACTTTTATAAAGGGTTAGCAAAATTCATGATTTTTTTTAAATTTCGATTTTAATCAAATACCGATATTTTAATTAGAGAATTATAGATTCAGATTGAAAAATATATAATTTTTTTCTACCTTACTATAATATTACCTTGAATTAAAGGGTTAATCATTTAGTAGACCTGGTTTGGAAATTTGTTTGAAAAATACATATTGATGAGCTATGAACTAAATCGATAATAAAAATTTAATAATATGTGCATACTTCTTTTTTAAAACAAATCTTTAAGTAAAATTTTATCATTTACCTTAATTTGGAAAAATCTTGATTATGGGTTTTCTAGCAATTGTTTGGTGTATCGCCCAAAATCAAACATTTTTAGAACTATCCCTCTCCCCTTTGGTAAGAGGTTAGTAGGCTTTTAAAAAATTATGAAAATAAGTTTTAACTATATTTTTTCTGAGGATAATTAAATTGTTTATAATAAAACACCTAAATCGAGTAAGCAACCTAATCATTTTTATATGGTTAGCCGTGAATCGTGTCTGGTCTGATTTAAACTGGATTATCAATATTTCTTTAAATATAGATAAAATTTTATTTTAATCGTTAAAACCTGTAGAAAGTAAATTATTAATCAATTAATCAGGCTGTTAATTATTTCAAAAATAATAAGCTGATAAAATAACATAATTTGTTTTAGATTTAAATTTAGCGCCATCTATTATACAAATTCAAAATAATGTTTTTTTTCTAATAATTTGATTTTAAATTATAAAAAATGTGTTAATTTTTATAATGTAACGATCATTTTAATGTTTTTATACAATACACAAAATATGCGAAAATAAAAATTACATTTTATCTAGATTAGTCTATTATTTAATTAGATTGTTTTGTAATTACTATTCTTAAAGTATATCAACATAAATACAATACCTCATCAAAACGCATTTCTTATTCTATCTTCTAAACCCGAAATATATTTCAAATTATACAGACAATGAGACCGAAGTGTTAATGGAACGTGCCAATTTTTATGCCTTAACACAAATCTCTTATCTATCTTGGTAACATTTCAAGTTATATATAACTTGTTTGATAAAATTATGATTTCAGATGAAATAATCAATAACTTAAAAATAGATTTTAAAGATGTGATGTTCAATATTAGTTAAGAATTTTGATTTCTATAGGAAATTCCATACTATGATCATTTTCCAGGGAAATTATCTTGCCGATGTTATCTGTACCAAAATTATCTTGAATTATTAAATTTTTATATATAAATTATAACTGATTGAAAGGTTTACAGCAAAATTGTCTACGATTCACAAGATAGGTATTCCAAACATGATAATATTTCCGGTAAAATACGATTTTTAAATTTTTAAAACGTACTTAAAAAATGATCTAAAGTTGTAAAAATAACAACTTGCAGGAAAAAAAACACATTGACTTTAACATATATATAACGCATATAAATGCTTACAATTATTAACGAAGCAAAATATGTGAAATAAGTCACATATCTAAACCATTGTACTCTTGTAAATCTATTATCAATTCAAAATCTACTAATGGGCGATATACTCTTGCAAGAAAATATGCAATTAAATATTATCTTAGTCTGTTTATTAATGCAATTATCTATTTTTAATGCAATCTCTAACAGTGTCTTTGATAATATCCTTTCGGCAGCTTTCCGTGCATCTGAATGGGTATGATTCTATATTTTTTATCGTAGTTTATGTGTTCTATCTTGTAAAAAGCTGATATCAATTGTATAATTACACCAATCACTTATACAGTCCTAGAGGATACTTAGTCAAAACGATGGAATTCTCCTATTTCAATTGGATATTCTTTTTTGAGAACCAATTAGAATAGAAAAGGGTTAGTTTTTTAATTGAAAATGTATTACATTGATATACTAACATTTTATTTATAAAATATTTTATGTTTATTATTAATATTAAAACACCATTATAAAAAATTTTTTCTTAGGAAGGGGCATATCGTATACCTATGAATATAAAATTCCTGTCCTGGGAATATCAGGAATTTTGTAAAAATGTCATAATTTTTTTTGACAATCTGGCCAAAAGAAGAGTCATGCGACTCCAATGTTTTAAGATTACTATGTAGTAAAAATCAAATAAGAAATCTTAAAACTGGAATATTTTAATTTTTGATTTATAATTATTTAATACTTGATATTATAATAATCGAAATATATATATTAAATTTATACGAAGAATGAGGATTTCATAGATCTTCATTTTCAGGAGTTAAAATAACTGGATTATAATTTGCCTTTATGGAAATTAACTTCCACGTGTTTATTGCTTAGTCTATTACAATATTTGGTATGGGTTCTTCCAAAATAAAACCAAATTATCATGGAAGTCACATTCGTCGGAGGAATTGAAAAAATTCTTATAGCAACCACCAGCCAAACTTAATGGTAAATGCAGAAACATTTCCACCATACTAGAGGTGAACGTGCTTTGCACTTTCGCATATTCCAAAATCCATTTTTGAATATCAAGATTAAATTTTGCAATTCATTGACTGCAACCATGCCAGATGATATCTCATCTTTTTTTAGAGCTGTTAAGGAGCGGCGCTCCTGGAACGCCGCTACATTTTTTCAAAAACACCTCTTTTTAAAATTGATGAGTGGGTGCGGGAGCTAGCTCTTTTTAGGGTTGGAGTGAAGGAGCGCCGCTCCACCGCACCTTTAAATTTAATGTATAAATTAAATTTGTTAATTAAAATTCAATAAAAATGAAATTTTATTTTATTTAAAATGTTTATCCGAGTTTGATATTGGTTATCTAATCATTTTAAATATTAAACATCAAGTTTTTCATATTAAAAATTTTTTGGAAAATCTTGTAAGTCATTAATATTTTTATAAAATACAATACCTCGCTTCCCTCTAGTGCTCATGAGGAGCGCCTATTTAGTATTGCAAAAGAGGTCTTAGGGGAGAGGCGTGGATGTTTGTTAGATTCTAATTTAGAAAATGTATTAATTAAATGCTAATAAAAGGTTATAAATATTTTGATAGATCATTTAATATAAATAAGGCTTTTTGATAAAAAAAAATATGATTTTGTTTCGCATACCTTTTAAAAAAATGAAAATCAAAGGAGCGGTTATGGAGTGGCACTCCGTTACTTGGAGCTGGAGCTAGCTCCTTTTAAAAATGTAGTAGCGGGAGCGGGAGCTAGCTCCTCTTGAGAAGGCGGGAGCGAAGGCTAGCTACTTTTAAAAAAGGAGCGTTAACAACTGTCATTTTCAAAATCATTGAAACTAGGATCAAATATTGCTGCGATGAATATTCTGACATATGCAATTTTGTGATATAGTTCAGTTAATTTTTATAAGGATATCAAATAAAATCAGCTGACAGAAAAATGCCTTGAGGTCAAAATATTGTAAATGGATAATCTCAATGATATTCAAATATTAAGAATTAATAATATTCCTGGAAATTTTGAATTTCATTCCCGTGCCTTAAATTTCAGGGAATGTGAAGGGGACATGCTAAATTTATTTTAAAGAAAGAAAGAATAGGGGCATGCCCCCCCCCCTTTATTACATCCTTCAATTTTGTATAATTATCTTAATATAAAATCTTAACATTTTTAAAGTTTCAAAATTTAGCAGGAAAATAACAGATATTTTATAAATTACCTAAAATATATAGCTGTTTTACACAATTTAAATATTAACAAAAAATATTTGAATAAAAAAACTGGCAGAAAAACTTGAAAGTGCAATCATCTGTCTAGTGAGAGGTCTGCAAAACCTGACCTAACTCATTGACCTATGGTATGGGTTTGGAAATTGTGATTGATATGGAATAGGTCAGGAAGATAAATTTTTCCAGACAGATTAGGTTGGATC